TGTCCTGCCAAAGTGGTAATATTCAGACTTTTATGAGACTTTGTTATTTGTGTGAGTTTACTGAGATTTCTGTATGAAATGGAGTGTTCCTCAGGTTATACTTTCTCAGCGGTGAGGGGTGGCATTGTGGTCTGGTCCCAGCAAAGCTGTCTGAGTCGAAATTTCTGCAGTGCCTTGCAAGAGCACCCTAATTCCACTTATTTAATATTTACCTGTTACATGACTAAGGGCATTGCAAAATGGCTGGATCCCAAGTGTTTTGCTTTAAAGTATCAGACCTGCAACAGGGTTACTCCATTAAATGCCCGCTATGGGGGTTATGTATGCATGGGGGGTTGGAGGCTGGGTGCTCTGGTTGGGAGGTTTAAGAGACGATGCTCTGCCCGGCTGAAGGAAATGGGACCTCTGCCTTGCTCAAAAGAGTGACAGTTCTGTTTGTGTCCTGCTGGTTGCAGCAGGTGGTGGGTCATGTATTTTGTTGAACAAATAGGAGCAGACAGCAGAAGTTAAGTAAATGTGGTGGGATACATTTCTGGGTACAGAAATTGCAGTTTTTGCTTAAAGATGAAAGTCATGCTTGTGCAAGCAAAATTTTAAAAAGCAACAATCAATCATCTTCTTTCTGTCCTTAAAATGTGGACTTTAATTTTGGGCCGGAATATGCAGTTTTTGTATACAAAGGCTGATATTGAGGCCAGGGTTTATTTATTTAGTAAATATAATGCTTGAATGCATCAATTGATGTTTAAAGGCATTTACCAATGTTCCCATCGTGTGCCGGTCCATTATGCTTTATGGAGCGTGAGGACCACAACCTTTGAAGAAAAACTTGTGGTGCCTGCTTCATTTGCAGAAATTAGTCTTAATACTTGACATTATCAAGTTAGTGATAGTTGATATAACATTTTAAGAGTAATTAGGAGCATGAATTTATGCTCAGATGGATGTTTAATTAAAAACTGTGGCAGCTTTGAAGTTCATGCTTGAACAATCTTGAGGCTGAAATGTGGGTTTATACCCAAGTGAACCTTGACAGCAAATCTGGAGATGGGGAAAAACGCTTTAGTAGCTCCGATTTCCTCCTATTTGTTTTACGCTGTCGGAGCCATCACAGCATCTGTAACGGTGCTGAATTTATGAAGATGAAAGCAGAACTTGCAGTTCAGCCAGGACATCACGTAGCCAGATGTAAAACCTGCTTCGGGGAAAGGAGCAGGGATGGAGGATACTTGTGTATTTGAGACCTCCGGGAGCCGTACTCCAGGTGATGCTGGCGGTGGTCCTTCAAACCTTGCGGTGCTTACTGTGAACAGCCAACATGGGGCGGTGAAAGTGCCTCCTGGAAATCTCTTCTCCATCTCCTTGAACTTCTGGGGGATTCAGTCACTGCCCTGTGTGAGCGGGGAGGAAGAGGAGGGTAAACCCATGCTTATGTCCAAAGCAAAGGCAATGACATGCAGGAGCTTGAGTCCCACAGCAGGATGGGGCTGGTGGTACCACATTTCGGATGCTGGGATATCGTGGCAGCTTGGGCTTTGGGAGGATGCCGGTCCTCTTACACCTCTCACTCTTATGTACAAGCAGCTGGAAGCAGCTCACCCACCACCAACAAGCGGAAAAATCCCGAACAATGCCAGGAGACAAAGAAGGCGAGAAGACAAAATGTTACAGATCGCTAAAAAGCAGATCAACTCCTTTTCCGCAGGCAGACAGACAACTGAGGGCTGTTGGCATAGATTATTAAGCAGACAGGAGGCGAGGAGGGCGCGGGGAGCAAGGGTGGCTGCAAGCATTGCTGCTCCCCTCTGGCTTCCTTTGCTCCCGTTGCCAAAAACGTCGGTAGTGGTGTGGTCTGAAGGCTTAGAAGTGACTGTCTTACCTGGAAGGGTCTCATCCTCATGAATGCTTTGCCTCTGGGCATCTGCACCCTCTCCAGCATCCCCAGGGTGAGCTCCCAAGTACAGGGGCACCAAAAAGCAGGAATTTTGAAAAAGCAGAGAATTTCTGTTGAAATTCTGTGTAGGCACCTGCAGTCTTACCTGTTTTGACCCACATCTTTTGCTGTTGGGGGATCAGAGGTGACCCCAGGAGCAGGAGTTGGGCTCAGTTGTTGTGTGGTTTTGTAGTGGAGGCCCCTGCTCTGGCGATGGTTTAAAGGAAAAAGCCAACAAGTTTTGATGGGTGGAGGACACACAGGACGTAAAAGCATATTGCAACAGGGGCTTTCTGGTGCTTTTCTTGGTCTTGCTACCCCATTCTCCTTTTGTATCTTCTTAACAGCAGTGCAAGGTTCACACTGGAGAATTTAGCGCTTACCACTCATTAATGAACAATTTCAGCTTGCCTTGGCTTTGGCAGAAATGGCTCTGCTGCCTGGTCCAGGCTGGTTCCTTTGGAAAGGCTGCAGGGATATGGGCGCTCCCAGTCCCGCTTCCAGCCTTTGGGCACAGGCACTGACTTCTGCATGGCCAATGTGCAGGAGGCAGTTGGTGGCTAATGCCATCAAAAGGGCTTGTTGCTGCCTTGACATCTTTTAACATGTACAGGTCAGATGCTAATTTTATTCCTGTATTGCATCTATTGCTTTCAGTTCTCAGTGTCTTTCTTCAGCCTGTCTGTATCTGTATTGCGAAACCAAGGATGCCTGCAGTAGGGTGAAAATCAACTGGTTTTCTAAACTATATATGATGGTTTCACTGCAAATATCAATGCTGAGCGCTTAGGTATGTTGAATTAAAAGGGACAGTTAACTGGTGAGGAAACCCCTGGTTTCCCTGGACAGAGGTGGAAGTCTGCCAGGATGAAGCTCAACGATCCATCACTGCAAACAAACTATATGAAAAGCAAATCTTTGTTCTAAAGTTCCAAGGCTAAATACTTATTGGTACTACTTTGCCTGGCTTTTGCATGACTAAGTGTCCCTCACGGCTTACATTAACATACATTTCAAAGCGGTTTATTTTGTTTTGGTAAATGTTCACACAATATTAAGATCTTACCTTCATTTGTAAATACTTGGGAGGTATACGGGGTGGTGGCAGATCCCTGAGAGAAAGATGGTGTGGGCACACAGGGCTCCTTTTTGCCCTTGGCCAGTATCAGAGGTAGGCTGCAGCACTCCACCACAGCAAGGCTGGGGCATTTCCTTAAAATACAAAATGAGGTGGTGATATGTCAGATGAAGGCGGCTATAACTAGCAAATACATGGCTTGAAATGCCCCAACCTGCTTCCCCATCTCCCTCCATTTCATGGAGGATGCAGTGTGCCATGGTTGTGTCTGAGGCTATCCCCTGAGCTCTGTTGTGTCTAGCAATGTGCCTCTCCTCCCCGACAGCCACATCCAGGGGGTGCTTCAGCCACAGCCTGATGCTGCTGGGCTGTGCTTTATTCTATTACTTTTTATGTTGCACATTTTAAAATAAAGCTTTTTTTTCCTGTTGTTAGACCATGCGATTGCTCAGGACATATAAATTGTGTTAATAAATGAGTGAGGAGCCCTGGTGGGTGAATTGGCTTCCTGGTGAAGTCATAAATTTGGAGAGGATGATGCTGCCTTGCTCTGCAGCCGGCACGTGGGTTTGCTTCCCAATGCTGTGCCTGGAAACCCAAGGGGCCGGGGAGAGGTCCCTGTGTCTGGTAATTTGGCGTTCCTGCTGGAGGTGAGATGGTATGAAAGACCATCTCCAGCCTGCAGGAGGGCTGGGAAACCTGGGCAGAAACCCCAGCTCATCAGCAAGCACCCTGGGGGGGGGCCGGAGGAGCCTGCAATTTAGGAAATGCTCATATTTTTCCCTGTTTCTGCCATACTGTGGCTTGTCCCCTCTCAGCCTCTGCTCCTTGTTGTGTCCTTGGCGCGTTAATTATCAATGCTGCAGGGCAGGAGCTGCTGTTCCCTGTGTGTCCTCCACACCGTATCTCATGTGATGGGGCCTTGGGCTGCTCCCATAGGAAGAAGTGACTGGGAAACAGGGATGCTTCCCTTTGCCTCCTGGCTCTCCTGCTGGGATCAGCGCCTGCTGTTTTTTCTGGAGAAGCAGCATCTTTTCCTCTGGCTCTGCCCGGTTTGTAAGCAGAGCATGTGCCCTCAAATGGAGGGGGGGGAAATGATTTGGTATGAGCAATTTTGATACGATGTTGGGTGATCCATTTCTTGGGAGAGGAGGAATGGCTGGGAATTGGCTTGCTTGATAGCAGTTATGCTGGTTTTAAGACCCCATCAACAGTTTGGGCCCTTTTATAGTTTTCCCCATCACTTCCAGGCATTTTTCTATTAGGATTAATGTAGTCAAGCACTGTGCAACAAGCAGTTTATTGCAGTAATTTGCTAATTTTTCAGTTGCTGAAAACGGAGGAGGCCGTATGTGTCAAGGAGCTTCTGTTTCCGCGCTGGCTCTCGAGCATCTCCTCTAGATGCACGCTCCCTGCTTGTGCCAGCGCTGAAGATGGGGTCACTTCCATAGCCAAGAAGCAAATCTGATTTTAAAAACCGCTCTAGCCTGCTAACCGAGGCATTTGCAAAATAAATAAATTAGTGGACAGAGTGTATAATGGTGTCCTGCAGGCTTGGAGTCCCTTGGGTGTCCCCAGGACCATGAGAGCTGGGTCTCGAACACGAGGGGACCGAAGTAAGTGCCGTGTGGGTACTCCAGTCAGCACATACTCATCATCACAGCTCCAGCAGACCATTTCCAGCTGAGTCATGCTCTGTGCTCAGGAGAGGCCCCGAGCTGGTTTTTTGCATGGCTGAGCATTAAAAGATATTTCCAGCACTTGTTTGCCAGGAAAATGCATCGAAGGCCCTTTACTAATTAATTGTAATGGCAGGAGGAAGGGGAGGGAATTGCTTTCCCATCATGGCTGCTGTGAAGATGCTCTTGAAAAAGCAAAAATATGTGTGGATGCTGCCAGGGTGAGGAGGTTGTTGAAGAATATTGTTCACTGCAAGGAAAACACTGCCACTGAGCAAAAACAAACAAACTTCTCGCTTTTCTTTTGCAGGGTCGTCATGTTAAAACAGGCCAGCTTGCTGCTATTAAGGTTATGGACGTCACCGGGGTAATGTATCCTCCTCCTCCTGCATCCTTAAATTATAGATAAGAGGGGAAAGGGGATGGGGTGTGATAACGTGTGGGGGTTGGTGGAAGCCTTGTATTTCTGGGAATCAAATCCCCTTTGCCTTAATGTGAAATGTGCCATTAAGAGGTTTTGGTTTTAATAAATGTGTGAGAGAAAAATAAATCTGGAAGAGTTTTGGAGATTAAGTAATTTTATGCTGAAACAAAGCAGCATCCAGTTCCAGAAGTGGCTCTTTTGAATGTGTTAATAAAATCTGAAGAAAATTGGAGCAACAGAATCATGTATTCATAACACATTTCGGTTTTTCCAAATCCATGTTTTTCACCGAAAAAGCTTTTGTTCACCAAAACTATGTGCAGGTATTGTTATGAATAACTTTACTAGGCAAGTTAAATTACTCCTGTGCATCCTGCTGATACAGAGGAAAGAATGCACCACCCTGGTCTCAGAAACGTGGCTCTCTGGAAACTTGTATCAGACTAAGAAAACCAAGAATTTACGAATTATTAAATGAATAACAGGATTTAGGGGAAAAAATGGTTTCACCATTTCCCAACGGCCATGGAAGAAAAAGTGAGTGGAACTGCTATGATCCCTATAAACCTAACAGATGCATTTAGGAGGGTCACATGAAATTGTGACCCTGCTTTTTCTTGAATAATTTTTTTTAAGTGCAGTATTATACCTCCCAAAGTTCCTGCTTACATAAACACCACCAGGTTGGGGAAGAAGAATGTGTTTTATTGTGGTGGGGTTTTTTACTGAAATAACACATTTCAAAATTTAGGACTTTATCCCAATCTACCCACCTTATTTTTTTGAATTAATGCTTTTAATTAGCTTTCAGGAGTTCAGCACATACAGAATTGACTTGCTGTGAAAGCAGTCAGCTGGCCTCAGGAGTATGTTTTGAAATACCTTAGATGTTGCGGTGTGGTATTAATTTCTACAGGACCTTCATTCAGGTTCTTTTTTTGTGCTAACAGGTGAAATGATGCATGGAACTGTGAATGTGAATGTCTGTAAATGTGAATCATGTTTGGTTTTGTTTACTTGCAACATCTACGAGTGCCGTTTATCTAGTTCTTGTAGGAAGCAGGCTGTAAGGGAATAGGTAGACCCACCAAACGTAACCCCATGGCATAAATGGCAGTGAGATTCCCATGGATGAAGTCTGAGGTCACAACAAATTTAAGCTGAGAAATCAGAATATTTTAAGCCAAACAGGGGCTTAAATTTGAGTCCACAGTTAGTTCTGTGGTTTTAAAATATCATCACTTCCAAGCAAAGATGTTGGAGAAAAGTAGCCCAGATATGATCCTGCCCAATAACTAATATTTTCAGCCACGTCTTTAAGTAGATATCCCAGATCTAAACCTTTACCTTCCAAAGTAGGGTCTCAGGTAGGGTCTCTGAACGTCCAAGGTAGTAAATCAGATATTTGGTGTGGGATGTGTTATTTGGATATTTAATTATTTTTCCCTTAAGCTGCTTTTAGCCATATTAAAACACATAGGTTATTTTTCTTTTAATATATAATGCGCAGATTTTTTAAGTCAGTCCTCTAAAAAAAACCCCTAACCAAACTTCTGCTCTCTTCTACTTCTCCCTACCCCACTGAATACCCTGTGTGGTGGCTTCTCAGCCTTGGGTGACACCAATATTGCATGAGTGGAGAAGCAGCTATCTAGCAGGCAGTAGCATGATCAGCTAAGGTGCAGAGGTAAGACCTCCATGTCCTCTGAAGGGATGCCACCGGCCCTTAGTCACTGAAAGAAGGCTGCTCAGGGAACAGGACCAGGCTTGGGCAGGACAGGCAATGACCACAGTGAAGACAGAGCAAACCTGTGATGTGGTAGGGGACTGACTGTGCTTCATAGCTGTTGATGCTGAAGTCAGATCTAGAGCCATGTCCTCCAGCCACCGCAGGAATGGTCCTGGGAATCACTTCTGGAGTAATCTCTAAAGCTGGTCCCTGAATTATGCCTACAGCCACATTTGGCACCTGGTCCAGGCTCAGTGCGAAGGCTGCTGGTGAAAACCCAAACATGTCCACTCTAGCCCTTTACCACGTCCTGACACACACTGATTTCAGTGTTGCCGCTGCTTGGTTTTATCCAGTTCTTCCATCCCATTTTTTTTTTTCTGGGATGTCCCTGATGACAACATGTCTTTCAGAAGCCTACAGAGAACCAAACTAGTGCGGTCATCCCAACCATAGCCATCTGCAGTTTCATGGAGGAAGTTTTTAGAGTGTAAAGCCCCCACATGCTAAGTGAGCTCCCAGCCAGCATCTCATCCCGACCACGTGCCTTGCACTAAACCCTCAAAGACTCCTGACAACGATGCTTTAACTCATCTATGCTCTTGCATAGATTATTATATATTCCCTAATTATCTGTTAGGGAAGGTGGCAGCACAGAGGCCCTCAAATTACAGCACTTGATCAGTTTGGGCAGCCACTATCTCTGAATTAAGGATTTGGATTCATTTTCCAGGGGCTGGTCCTGCTGCATGCCCTACTTCCAGTGATGGATGTAATAGAATTGATGGATGGAGGCAAAGTGTGGCAGCAAAACCTGGTCTTTGGGTTTTGTTGGTTTTGGGGTTGGAGTAGTTACAGCAGCTCGCTATGATAGTTCATTTTTTCTTCCCTCCCTCGCTGGATTTGCTGGTGGTGATCACTGGTGATAGTCCTGCTTGGAGCAGGAGGTTGGGCTGGAGACCCCTGAGCCTGGCCATGCAGATGTCCTCAGGTGCCATCCACAGCTCTGATTTTTTGTTTTGTTCCCCTCCCCCATTTTGAATACTTCAACCTAAAGAGGGACTCAAGATAAAACCTTAGATCAAGTGTACTCTCTGGCTTATCTCCATTTTTCCTAGAGAGCCGGGTATGAGGCAGGGGATGACTGAAGAGCTGGCTAGTGGTACTCAGGGAGCTGGTGGGGTTTTGCACTGACCGTTCCTCCTTGTTCCCAGCACCACTGAGCATCCAGCTGCTTTTTTTGTTGCAAAGGGCTTCAATTAAAAAAAAAAATCTCTGGGGCCTGATAAAGTAAGTGTTCTATTCTGTGGTTTCCTGGGCAAATGAAAACAAGCAAAGTTGTGTCAATTGCTTAAAGGAAAGAGGTGATAAAGGTCTTCCAGAATGGGTTTTCCTTGTAACATTTGGGCCCATTCCTCATCCTCTTTGGTGCTTATGCTCTCCATGTTCTTACCAAAGATAAAATTGGAGGTTATTTATACAAGCTCCACCTAGCTACTTCTTTTATTTGTTCCTCCTGTCCTCATCTTCACTGTTCTTCCCTGAATTCTCTCTGGAAGACTGTAGTCATTAAATCGCTTTCTGTGGTAGTTTGGGAAGAAAGCTGTGTTTCTGTCCGTGTTGCGTGACACCTGGTCAGGGAGCATCTTCAAGAAGAGCTGCTCCTGCAGCTTCGCTGTTCACCAGGGTGTCTTGTCCCTTGCTGATTTGTAAAACTGAAGTCAGGATGAAGCAGGTGAGGGACACAAGGGTAAGAAAGAAGTAACAGCCCTGCTGGTCCTTTTATAATAAAGCTCATCGACAGCAAGGCACTAACTGCTGCTCCACAGCCCGTGGAATTACAGTGGGCTGGAATTCGGTCAGCTTCAAATAAAACCAGGGCATGTTTGGTGGTCGTGAAAGCAAAGAGGTAGGACATCAAAACAGGTATTGGTGCAGTTCCCCTGCCTCAGGTGCTTCAGCTGTTGCAGCTTTGCAGATGGGACGGAGAGGGGTCGTGACAGTCCACGGGAATGATGCTTGTCACCAGGACTGAGTTAGTCTGGCAGAGAGATTGTGGACAGGCAGCATCTGCCTGCTCCCTGCATGGTGCCACTGCACCACCAATGACACCTGGTGTCCCCAAATGTCTTGTGCTGCTTCCAGAGAGGGCAGGAGCGGTGTGTCACACGGCTGGGATGCACAGTGCAGGAGCACTTCTGCTGTGCAGTGGTTTCTAGAAAACCATCCTCTTGGGCCTTTGATGGGTCTGGGAGGGTGTGCTGATGCATTACTGGCGTAAGCTTCAGAGCAATGCGTCTGGGAGGGTGTGCTGATGCATTACTGGGGTAACACAAGTATTGTTAAGCTTCAGAGCAATGTGATACTGATGTAAATTATGATATGAATTATTAAAGGAATGAGTTTAAAAGGTGGAGGAATGTCTAAACTGCTGAAAACATGTAATTTGGCTGTGATGCCAGTTCGGCACTGGTGGCCCTCTGGATGTAGAGCATGTCTCCATGAGAGGGCTCAGTTCCTGGCCAGACCTTGCCTTGCTCCCACCCTGCAGATCAGTGCCCTTGGCCAGCCCCGTTTACACCTGTGGCATGTGCAGGTATTTATTTGGCTCCTCGGGAGGTTCCTGGGGTCTCTGCTCCCACTCGTGCCACGAGGTTTGAAGCAGTGCACAGGGATGGTGGGTCATTAACCCATGTGAGAGGGCTGCTGCCCACCCTTAAACTCTGCCAGCACCTTCAGGATCCCGTTCTGGAGGAGACAGCATGATCTGAACCATTTGTAAACCACCTGATTTCTGCACCACCTGAAGATTTGTCCAGTTCAGGGTTCAGAAATGCAATGGGCAATGTGGCAAAGCATGTGTTTTCTCCAGTTCCGGTCATCTTAGCTTTTTAGTTTAACCCATTAGTTGTTTTTTTTAGTTTAACCCATTAGTCTTCAGTCCAGGCTGCAGGCTCCCAGGGCTCTGTGAACCATTTGTAAACCACCTGATTTCTGCACCACCTGAAGATTTGTCCAGTTCAGGGTTCAGAAATGCAATGGGCAATGTGGCAAAGCATGTGTTTTCTCCAGTTCCGGTCATCTTAGCTTTTTAGTTTAACCCATTAGTTGTTTTTTTTAGTTTAACCCATTAGTCTTCAGTCCAGGCTGCAGGCTCCCAGGGCTCTGGTATCAGTTCCATGGTGCAAAGCGGCTTTGTAAAAAATGATGCAAGGAAACAGGTGAGGTTGGTCAGAAATGGGGTGCGTGGAAGTTCACCCATGTACAAAGGGAAACAGGAACCTGTGAAGTGCATCCTCTTAGTGTCTCTGGTTTTGTTTTTCTTTTCGCCTCATCCCAGGATGAAGAGGAAGAGATCAAACAAGAAATTAACATGCTGAAGAAGTATTCTCACCACCGAAATATCGCTACGTATTATGGTGCTTTTATTAAAAAGAACCCACCAGGAATGGATGATCAGCTCTGGGTAAGTTGCTTTCTTTTCTCTAAATTAACTGGGGTTTGACACAAATGATTTACTCCATGTTGTCCTCTTACCACGACCTATATTGCACAAAAAGCCTTATTTTGCATCCATCTTTTTTGAAGTCATGGCTTTGAAAAGGCTCTTCCTGCGCTGCAAAATGCTTCTCCATTTTGCCATAAAATCTTTGCAGACTGATGATAAAACCATTTTTATTCTGAATTGTCATTAACAACATCTTTGTTACAAAATTTAATTGAAAATTATTCCGTCCTATGAAAATAAATGCATCAAAAAAATCAGTTGGAGGGAGCCGGGAGTGTTACTGGGAAGACAGAGGCTTGGCAGGGGATGCTGGGCACGCATGATTCCTGCCAGCTCTCGGCGCTGCTTCTCATGCTTAATGTTTCACAGAGCCAGTGTAGGTGAATAAAGAGGAGGGGGACAGCGAAGGGCAGGCAGGAAGGTCTATGGCTGTTCAGGCATTTCGGTGAAGATCGCCTCGTCTTGCTGAAGGGCTGCAAGCTGCTTTGCCTCTCCATAAATCCTTGCCTGCCTCCTCCCGCTGCTTCCCTTGTCAGTGGCTTCTCGGTTATTAATTCAGCATTCCCAGACCACAGAGGATAGAGTTTAAATCCACCGTCTATCTCCGGAGGCAGCTGGAGCGTTGGAGCCCACCTCCTCGCTGGCAGCTGATGCTCTCAGGGGCTGGACAGGGCAGCAGGCACTGTGGGTCGGGGCTCCGGGCACTGCCATAAGCAGGGTGAAAAATTAACTAAAGTTACTGTGCTGTATTCTGAGCTCGGCTGTGCTGATCTAAGTCTGTGGAGCAGCAGCCTGCAGTGCCCGTGGGTGTCTGACCAGCAGTTTGAGACCCTGCTTTCGTTAGGGCAGCGTTGAAGAGAAGGCTACCTTTGAGTTATCTTAAATGTAATGACCTGGATGTTGTCTTGTGATCTAAATAGCATTTATTTCCTCACAGTCTTGTAAATCCAGTCAGTTCTAGGTTATCCACAGGTGGTTTCCAAAGGTTTTCTGTGCCTGCACAAGATTGCTAGAGACTAATTTTTCAGGGGTAACAAATATCCATGGTTCAGCCAGGAGGCCATGGAGATGCTGGAGGGCAGCAGAACGTCCTTTCCTTTACTTTCTGTATAACCTAGGCTTTATTTTAGCAAAAGGTTCAGTGGCTTCAGCTGTTTGCCCCTGTGTCCACATGCCAGAGCATCTGGGGGTTGTGGGAACCAGGGGGTTTCAGAGGACATTCCTCCTGGGACAAAAATGGAGCTGATGGGCTTCTGCACTGCTTTGCTACCCAAGACTTTGTGGTACACTGAATTATTGGGAAGACTTGGGGGCTTGGACTCCAGGGGCTTTTCTTACTTGGGTGTTGGGGTTATTTTTGGTGGGAACTCTTAAAAAACATGTTCTTTACAGCTGACCTGGGATTCAGTGAGGAGAAAGCTGTCAAGCTGAGAAATGCCTTTTCATCCCATGAAATTCCATTTGGCTTTAGCTGGTTTATAATCTGTTTAAAAAACCCAAATAAAATAGAAAACCAACCCACAGCATTTCCCCTTGTGCTGCTGGAGTGCCTAGGGGAAAAAAGCCCCACCAACTGTGTGCCAAAGCCCTCAACAGTGAGAGAAGCCCTCCCCGGAGCTGGGCTCTGCCCAGTGCCTTTACGCTGCTTGGATCTGGGGTTAGCACAGTCTGACCAGGGAAGAGAGGGGTTTTTTCTTTCCTCTAGCTCCAGTGCAAAGAGCTATTGGCGTATACAAGTGTTAATAAAATAATGTGGGGTTTTTTAAATGATTTGCCCATCCAGAGCAGCCCAAACTTCCAACAAGAAAAGCTCAGTAGAAAACTCCTTGGATTAAGAGAGGCCCTTTCATCCATTCCCATCATCATGAAACAGCAGAGGATGCTGTACATGCTGTATCACCTTCAGATGGCCAAAGTCAGGAGGAGAACCTGGGCTTTCCCCCGGCGGGTCACCCAGCCGTGCAAGGGGAGGTGTTCATCACCTAGCTGTGCTGCTTGTCTCTTGCCCCATGGGAAAGGCAGACTAGATAATCTAAATTCCCTTCCAGACCAGCTACCTCTCCTCTCAATTTTGGGGCCTTTCTCATGGGCTAGTGAAAAAAATTGTTGCAAAAGCTGCTTTCCTTGCACTGAAGAGTGCTGGGGTGTGAGGTTTTTTTTAAGTCTATGCCCAGTGCTGGGGCTGGTGGAGGTATTCATGGGAAAGCTCCCCGGAGTGGAGGAGAGGTGTGCTGGTGTTGCTGTGTTAAATAGCTGTTGTTTCAGGATCTGATTGAATTAGGACTTGTGCGAACTCTATCAGTCTTGCTGCACAGATAAAGGCTTGTTTATTTTTCATTGGCCCTTTGTTGAAATAAAACGGTTTCTGATAATGCCCAAGTAATTCTTTTTATCGACATTCAGGAGGCTGATACGGAAATAAAAAACAGAGCGCTCTTTCAGTGGAGATTAAGATCTCTCAGAAACACGGCAGGCTTCTGACATGAAGTATTGTCATCATTTCTGCCGCATGATGAGCAGGTCTTAAGGTGCTGCTGCTCCATTCGATAGCAGCCACTTGCCCTGAAAGACGAGCTTACTAAACAAGTGAGTTTTCCTGAAATTTAAGAGCTGCATGGAGGATATTTTAGCAGATGACAATGGAGTTGTGTATCACAAATCTTATACATAAGGAAAAAAAGTAAGTAAAAGTCATAGGGACAACCTTTAGGGAACATTTTAAAAAAAAATTAAAAATAGGAGGTAGGCTTATTCCTGTGTTGGATAAAGTGTTGCTTTCTGGGGGTGCCATGGTCCTTTGAGAGGGATTGTGCTCATCTCTAACTGAGACAAGGGGGTTGTGGCCGGGGGAGCCTGTGGTGCAAGGGGCTAAAGAGAGGGTGGGCTGCAGAAACTGGGGAAATGACCCAGGGGACAGTGAGGACCCAGTTAATCAGTTAACTGCTGCTTCTCGGAGTTAAACTCATTAAATTCCCCTTGCACATCTCAGACCTAAGGTATAGGTTACCAGGCTGCGCATAACCCAGGGGGGTGGGGGGGACACGTTTTGAGATTTTGGGGGTTTTTTTTGGTGGTGGAAGATGGGGCATTCATTAGGAAGCACAAACTTGATGGCGGAGGTGACCCCATCCCAAAGGACCCCCTCCCCAGCACATCGCCTGCCCCGATGGCTGCTGGAAGTTGCAGGCTTTCTGCTTCGTTCCCATACATTAACACACTGTATACATCCGCAGGGCAATAGGGATGCCACTGTGCTGGGTGTTTGTCATCTGCCCTTGCCGTCCATGGTGCACTGAAACCATTAACGGAGAAGTCGTGCCATGCGTGGGCAGTGGCACCAGGTTTGGGGTGGTGGGCAGAGGGGGGTTTGCAGAGAGCGGGGGCTGAGCGGCGGCTGGCAGCAGCCCAGGGCAGAGCCCACCTAGGGCAGAGCCCGCGCTGGGGTCCCCGGGGGGCAGCAGCGCTGGCTGCCGAAGGCAGGGTTGCCATGGCAACCATGCCTGTGCCCGGAGCTGCATCTGTCATGAAGGGGGGAAAATTGCTAACAGGCAGGTTGCCAAATACCTGCTCGTGGTGAGCACGGACAGGGACCCCTTGGGGACAGAGCCAGTGGGGCAGCCTCCAGTGCATCCTCTGCAGCGGGTAATCTGGGGCAGTTTTGGGGAAGAAGGAATTCGGGTGATTTAGGGCCAGAGGCTATGTCAGGATAGCACCGCTGCAGCTACGCAACACTCAGGGCTGTCGCCGTGTAGTTGTAATGTGCTTTTTCACCATGTCCAGCCGTAGGGGCCCATTGAATTGCTGCAGGGTGGTATGAACAGGGTCACACCAGGGATCTGGAGAGCAAAAATGGGGGCAGCGAGACTCCATTGAAAATGGAGCACAAGCCATCGAAGCACTGGGTTGTACCTGTGCAGCTCGGAGCAGGATTGCTCTTAATCTGCTTGTAGGCACTGAAGAATATTTTTGGGCAGTTGCTGATACCTTGCATCACAGGAACTAAATCATTAAACATTTGAGAGGGGACAGTTTTCGGTTGAGCTGTAATTCTCTCTCGTCCCTCCAAGCCCTGCAGTCCCGGGAGAGTGCGGGGGGAGCGGGGCTGCTCTTCTGGCCCCTGACTGAGAGCCCGGCGTTAGCAGAGAGGCTTTCTGCTGCTGTCTGGCTGAGTAAGCCAACGCTATTTCATTCTCACTCCTCTTCAAAGTGATGTCAGTGCTGTAAACACTGCAAGGCTGTGAGCCCAGCTCCTTTCACTGCTGTCCCGAAGCCCAAAGCTTTCAGCCTGCTCAGGACCCATGGCAGCAGCTGCCCGCCGGCTCCCTCGGGGCAGGGATTGCTTGGCTGGCCTCAAAGTGTAGGGAGGTGCGGGCAGGGCGCAGCCAGGCGAGTCGTTTATTTATGAACATGTGCAAGAGCAGTTTGATGCTGCCGTCGGAGAGGGGAGAGCGTAGCAGCGCTGGCCCCGCTGCTCCAACCCAGGTGTGCTGCTACAGCATAGCAGCCTGCTCCTGCTATAGCACCGACACAGGCAATTAAAACCTGTGCTTATCTTGCTACAGAATATTTTAGTCATTGCTTAACACCAATTCAATCAATATTTCTGTTTCTGAAATGAGCATCAGCTTTGCTGATCCACCCAGTGAAGGTCTCTGCTTTTTTTTTTTTTTTTTTTTTTTTTTTAATGCTCCATCACTGGCTCCAGGTGCCACAATGTGTGTGATGAGGGACCCTTTTGCAAGGGAGCCAGGCTGTGGGGTGAGATGAGAGGCTTGGGTGGCCTGGGCATACAGGATTGCATTGCACCCGGGTTCTGTTTACACACACAGCAGGAAGAAGGATTTCCAGCAGCATTTAGCCTGGGGATGTTGTGTGCTTCTTTTCTGTAAAAGAGAAGTCGAATTGTTTGTGGGGTGAGGAATAGGAACACAGAAGGATTTGGCTTGCAGAATAAAGGAGTTCGATGATTTTGGGGGGTTCCTCTTGACAGGCTGAAGCGGTTCACCATCAGCTGGATTGGGGTTTCTGTGCTGGGGATGCTCAGGTTTGAGCCCTTCCAGGTAATGTACAGTGGCAATGGGAACAGAGGTCTTACTGGCCATTCCCAGACTGGGGAAGGTGGTGGTTGATTTGGAAGCTGCGAAGGCTCTTCAAACAAAAAATTTGTGAGACAGCAGGACACAGAGATTTACAGCTGCTGCTTCTGAATTTGCCTTGCTTCTGAAGTTTGCTGTCACTCTGATATGAAGAGCTAAGTAAATGCTAAGTGAACTGTATTTAAAAATACTTCCTCAATAAATGGCCTTGCAAATTAAATTTCAGAAGATGATCTTACCTTTAGCCCATCTTGATGATAATTTTAATTATGGTTAATACAAATTCAATCTGCATTTCAAGTTTATTGTCTTACCTCATCATGACTTCATCCTTTAACAAGATTGGTAATGATGCAAGTGTGTGCAGGGCAAAACTCTCACCTAGAGACATGGGACTGGCAAGAAAGTATCTTAGTATAAGTGCCATTTGAAGCCTTTCCTGAGTATACTAAGCTCTGTCCTAAAATCAGCTGAAACTTTTGTTCCCTTTTCTTTTCTCCTGGAAGGCTGTTTGTTGATTTCCAACCTAAATATACCCATAGGGTGTTGGCATAATATCCATATATTTCCAACCTAAATATACCCATAGGGTGTTGATATATGGATATTATGCCAGTATCTACCTTGTTCTTCTCCCTCTCTGGTGCTTACCTGTCTGTACTGTTGACAGTATACACTCATATCCCATAGCCATCCATCCCCTGGCTGGCTGAAAAAGTCCTCAGGTCCTCTGAGAAGACCTATTCATCTTCCTGTACCTGCTCCAGTGTGTGTTTCTCGTTCTTGGGCTCTATCACCCAGCAGGACACGCAGTGCTGTGGGTGAGGTCTCACCTGGCCTGTTGGTGTGAATCCTTAGCCATCACCTGTTTCTCCTCTCTTTGGAGGCTCCACTGTGTGAGCTGTAGTTGGGACTTTTGTAGCATCCTTCCATCTGAGGATCAAAGGGGATTGCAGTGCCGCTAAGTGCCACAGCAGTGTGCTGCCAACTTTCCTCCCATTCCATCCAAACCTTCTGGAAACAGTGTTTTTTCACATTGGATGTCCATCAGCTCTCCATTGCAGACAGGGATACTCAGACAGCTTCGTTGTCTTTCTGTTGCTTGTTTTCTTGGAGAACTCGTGGCAGAGCTTTTGGGAAGAGCCTTGCTGTTAGCAGCACGTGTGCGCTGCTGAGGCCCCTTGGCCCCTGCCCAACTGGACCTGGAGCCTGCTGGTACTGCCAGAGATCTGCTGGTGCTGGATATTTTCCTATGGATGTTACGGGACTGTGCAGCTCTTAAAAAGCCGAGTTGGAACACTCCTTGTGGGAGTTTCTCTTTCCCTCTCTCTGTTTTTTTTTCTTTAATCTCCAGGAGATTTCACAATTACAGATTTGGGATACATCAGCAGGTGGCCATATTATTCACCTCCTGGTGCAAAATTAATCTTTGCTCTATGGAAATTCAAGGACAGGTTAGAGGATCGAGTGAACTGCCAGCTCCATAAAGATAATCTGGCAAATTAATGGATGCACTGTGTACTTTTAATGGGATTTCTTCCATCTTCTTTTAAGCGTTGTGATTGCCGCACATAGCATAGCATGCCCTTCCTCTTCCTCCTGCTCCAAACCCTGGTGAGAGCCTGTGGATGAATTTCCATGGAAAGGGACTGGAGAGGGTCAGGCTTTTGGGCTGGAAAGTGTTTGTGGCTGGTTCAGCTATCCAGGGTTTTCATTTCCATGCTTGCTGCTGTGGTATCCCAAACGTTCATTTAATCAGAAACACGTGCAGACACTTACACGTGTCAATCGTCCAAAGGGAAGAAAGAGAGGAAAAGCGACTTTGAAACCAGTTGTTCCATTATTCCCCATGCAGTGAGCAATGTGTAACCCATGACTTAGGCCATGATGTCCCAGTGACCCAGCTGGATTGCTGGTCTCCTGCTGGGGTGGAAGAGCTGCAAGTGCTGCAGCAGTGTTCTTTGCCTTTGCACAGGACAGGCTTTGGCCAGTCACGCATCTCTTTCTTGAAGCCAGTTTCCTGACGTAACAGGGGTATACAAAGAATTTTTCAGCTGTCAGTTTAGAAAGAGAAGAGAAACTTAATACCAAAACTAAAGATAGGAGCAGGGTCAAAGCCAACTAAGGTATAGTCCGCTCAAGTATTTTATTTAACATGAAGGTTTATAGCAGTACTCTGTCTGGATTTTATGAGTGATTATTTATGATAGTCTTTTAAATCATTGCGTTTGAGCAATTTGGTTGGAAGTAACCCTTCTGCTGTTTCTTTCTCTTCTCCTCTTGGCCCATGCTTTTAATAAAGTCACGTCACTTGCTTGGAGAACATTAAATGCCATGTAAGCTTCATGTGATAAGAAACTTTAAACATGCACATTGAAGAATCTGGCAAGGCACGACTTACAAGGGAGTATCTTTTAGTAGCAAGCTGATCTAATTGGAAAACATGGTTTCACACCTGAGAGAAACACTTCTACAGGTCTTGGAGGAGGCTTGTTGCATACACGGGCTGTGCTCGCTTTCTGGAGCACGCTGACAGCTCCTGCACGCCCTGGGGATCCGTGATGTCCCTGGGAGGCAGACTTGCATCCCGTGCTATTTTTAGAAGGTTTATTTCACAGTTGCTCCATGACAAGATTAAGTTCAGGCCCAGGTTAGATCCTTGTACTTTTATATTTGATATTATGAAACTTTGGAAGTGGTACAAGCAGTGGTGCCCAGTCTCATTTGAACCAACCTGAGCAGGAGGACACCAGCTCTCTCCCGGAGAGCCTGCAGCTGCACGGCAAGCTTGCCCTCGAGAAAGGTTTCCTGCTCAAAAAAGTGCTCAAAAGCAAAGACTTCCTGGTAAAAAAAAAATTGAAAAGTATACTTGGTTTTTAAGGTTGTAGGAAGCTTTCAAACATCTGTCTTGTTGCCTTCACATTTTCAGAGTTGAAGAACTTACATGTAAGAGGTAGAGTTTTGCTTGTATTGCTGTTGATACTAAAGGTTGATCATAAGTATAAAGTAGGGTGTGTAGCGGTGGGGTCTGAGATTTCAAGGTTTCCAATTTCCTCTGCTGATTTTCAGCACTGGACTGATCCTGTTTCTTGTTCCCATCCTTCTGGAGAGCAACAAGCCTTTCAAGCCTTCCAGCCTTTTATTGTTTCATTTTTATAACAAAAACCACATGATTAAAAGCTGATAGGTTCAAGATTACATCCTGGTGGCTCTGCGTAGCGCTGCGGTGGCCCCACAGCTGCATTGCCAGCCTCGGGGTCCTACCCTGGAGTCGGGCAGCCCAGAGGATGCTGTTGGTGTCATTGCAGTAATTGCATTTTTGTTCCGTTTGGCAGCTGGTGATGGAGTTCTGTGGCGCGGGCTCCGTCACCGACCTCATCAAGAACACGAAGGGGAACACCTTGAAGGAGGAGTGGATTGCCTACATCTGCAGAGAGATTTTACGGGTACGTGTCGTGTCCAGAGGGAGCTAAATGTTGGGAGTTGTTGGAGTATCTCACTCGGTGCTCGGGGGATAAGTAAAGCCTTTGGCTCGGCAGGCTTTGTGGCTGCCACGCTGCCATGGGCTGGAGCCTCTTCAGTGCCAGTAGGCATGAATGATTCATGTGCTTGTATGATGCATAATAAATAAGCCCTATTTAATGCCCTTTAGCTCTGTTAGTTCCCTGACTTTTAACCCTCTTTTTCCTTCAACAAAAACATAATTTTCTTTAGTATTAATAGGGCAAAGATTTATTTACATTAGAATTACATTTTCAATTAACAGAAAGGTGAGGACTTTATTAAAGTCGGTGGAAAGATTCTTCATGATTAAAAAGCACCCCAGGTTTTATTAAATCCACATGTCTCTGGCTTTAATGAGGATGCTGCAGCTTTTATACCCACAAGGTAAATGTTTGACTGGAATGTCTTAAAATGGGCTGCTCCAGAGTTTCATGTACTGGGAGATGGCAGCTTCAGCAAAGGCTTGCTTGCATTTTGCACAACTGAGGTCAGATGATGTGATCATAACAGTTGCTTCGACATTAAAATTTATCACTCCGTGAACCAAGATTTTGTTCAGGAGGAAACAGAAATACTGAGCATGTGAAGGAAAACTGTAAAAGAGCCATTAAAAGAAAACAATGCAAAATGACTGCTCCAAAATGCGGTGTCTGACACTGCCACTGAGGCTGCTGCTGGTGTCCAGGGGTGACACAGCACTTCTCTGTTGACCCTGAATGCCACCGTCCGCATCAACACGATGTACAGAAGACGCTGGCGCTGTAGCTAATCACTTGTACAGACACTGCTTTTGGTGCCAGGAAACGACAGTTACACGGGCTTATTTTAAATGTCTGAGCTCTGTGAGCCTACTTCTTAAAACAGACCCTGGCAGTGAGTCAGAACACAGCGACTGACTCATGTCCCAGGGCCACCATCACGTGTCATCACTCGCGTTTCGGCCACGCGTCGGGGCGGTTGGTTGGTGACCTCCATAGGGTTTCAGGTGATGAAAGGCTCCCACCTTTCATGCTGCAGAAGGTGGCTCATTCTTGGTTCAGACGTTGAGGACTGGTTGTAATTCTAACATGAGGCTCGATCCTGCGTTGTTAAAGGATTTTCTGAAATTCAATGAAATTTTTGCTTTGCCTCCAGTGCACAAAGGTGCCTCTAACTGGGTATAACATGGCTAAAAAAGGGCTCCCATACAGATCTAATCTATTCCATGGTGTTGTCCCAAGGTAATGAGTGTAAAATGACTGATAACTACCAGTAGTGATAGCAGAAATTATTTTCTTTCTCAGATATGAATGTTTAATGTGAAATGTAAACCTAATGCAAAATTAGTTTTTGAAGTAATCCATGTTTTTACTGAGCTGGCAATATAGGTGGATGTTACTTTGAAATAATAAGTGAATGAAATAAAAATGTAGGTTGCAAAAAGAAATTAATGAGCTAATAAAAAAGCACAACAGAAAAACTAGTTTACCTTTAGCCTTTGAGACAGGCTTTTAATTTGAGCTATATCTCCATTAGGGATACGTGCAAGTTATAACATTTGTATTTGCATGGTAGCTTTTTTAATACAAGCTTATCAGTGTATTGAAGTCCCGTTTATTGGACCGATATAACAAGAGAATTGTTTTCTTCAGTTTCTGGATGATGGAAACACAGAAAGGAGACAAAACCATTCTATTGTTTCTGCCACAGAAATGGCTCCCTAAGGCAAGAGAGCACATGGGGGAAAATACGTCTAGAGATACGGAGGAATTTGGGTTAATATGGGTTCCTGCAGAAACTGAAATATTGGATTTAATCCCTATAGAATTGATGGTTCCTGTCTCTTGCTATGGAGAACACCCACTGCAACACATACAGCCCGTCGGTGGGCATCTCGCTTGCCGGGCATGTCCTCCCAGCATGTGACATGGAACAGTATTTTGAACACATGATAAACAAAAGTGTTCTCAAGTGCTTAACTCCAACTGTGAATCTTTCATTTCTGGAGCATAATTGGTTGAGGAGGAATGTCAGAAAATAATATGCTTTGAACTTGGATTCCTCTAACCTTTCTCTGAATTCTCTAGGGCTTGAGTCATCTACACCAGCACAAAGTAATTCATCGAGACATCAAGGGACAGAATGTATTGCTGACAGAAAATGCAGAAGTTAAACTAGGTAAGAGTGGGTTAGAGCTCTTGGAAACTGCAAGTGGGCTGGCTGGAGAGAAGCAGCAAAACAGACTTGTACATGACTTGGAGAAAGGGGATGGATACTAAGAGCTACTCTGTTTTTTCTTGTGCCAGCCTCAATAACATGACCTTGGGTGTTGACCAAGTGCCGTGCACTAAACTGCCGGTGGTTGATGGCCAAGTTCTGCATGCAAAGATGTACTTGCAGTTGTGTTTCTGTTCAGACAGGTAGTTTGGGCAGCTCTGCCATCAGATACAGGTTAAGCAATCAAGACCACTTTTTCATGCCCTGGATTGAAAACTGGTCTCTGTGCATCACCAGCCATTATCGAAGGCTGTTCCCTCACACCTCCATAGTAGTGTCCTACAGGATCATAGTCCAGTCAATTTAGTGTCACATAATCCAGATTTTTTTACCAAGCCAATCTGTTGGAGAGAGCTTAATTTGCAAGAACTACTCTGAATTTCATATGCGATGTTAGTCACCCTGGAGAAGACCAGGCGTTCACGTGAAGATCATCTGGAAGACAGCAGATCAGCAGAGACGATGTGCTGATATCCTCAGTTGTCCAGCACCAATGTTATTAAGGCTGTCTTTGTGCGTTTTAATTTATGCTAGTGATGAAAGATTCCTTACACTGGTAAAGTGAGGTGCAAGCCTTCTTTTTCCCATGTCTCTCCTCTCTCTTTACAGCAGAATAAAACCCCAGCTTAACAGATGGCACCACCAGCTCGTTTGGCTTTATGCTGGTGAAGATTCCCCTCCAAGGGGAAATTCTCCAGGGCAAATCTCCAACCACTATGTTGCGCAAAGTGAACTTAGTGGACCATAGAGTATTCTCTCATTGATTTGATTTCATCTGTTTTTGCTTCATTTTGCAGCGCTCTGCTTGACATTTTGCTATGGGCCTTTGTCCTTGGCCCTTAGTTCCTTAAGTCTTTTGCATTTCTGCCATTTCCAGCAAGAATTTAGGTAGAAAAATGAGGCTTCTACCAATATTTGGCAGGCTTTAATTCAAATGAGAAAGCATAGAACAAAGGCTGCTGCTTATTCATGTTGCTAGCCCTGTTTCTCATTAGTATGAGGAGCTGTGATTTCTTTTCATTGCCTCCTGGCAAGGAGGAAAAGGCACAGGGTTTCTTACAAAACCTGGACATCAGATGATCAGGTTCGTCCTTGATTGACCTCTGTTGACCCCAGCAGAGATCAAACAGGAATGTCTCTGGCTCCGTCTTTCTCTCCTGACTGTGTGGAGAAGTTGGTCTGAATGAATTTAATGTTTTACAGTCAACAGAAGAGTTGCTTGGTTTTTCTCCGGCCTTACGATGCCCTGTTGTCTCTCTGATCCACAGTGGATTTTGGTGTCAGCGCTCAGCTGGACAGAACAGTGGGCAGGAGAAACACCTTCATTGGAACGCCTTACTGGATGGCCCCTGAGGTTATTGCCTGCGATGAAAATCCCGATGCCACTTATGACTTCAAGGTATCTAAACGAGCATCTTCCTACTCTTTTATATGTCATTACAGATATAATATTTGCAAAGTCTATCACGTTCACAAATAACGTAGGCAAAGAATGAAAGCAGCACTTATCAGTGCTTGCAGTGAGAGTTGTGATCATAAACATCTGAAGAAGGTGCTTGGTATGATCTCAGATTTTATGCCCCAGTACCATGAACTTGAGCACTCAGGAATTTATTATATTCTTGCAGCTTTGCAGAATATGTTGACAGGCGGCGTAGTCTCCTCCTGCTTTCTGGCTGTGAATTTTGAGATGCCAGTTCAGGTCCAACATGAATCTTTGTTGTGCTGTTCACGTATCCAAATTCACTGTGAAGATGTTTTTCCCCATGCTGGGAAAGGTGTCAGACGGAGGCTTCCTACCTGCTAGCCTGCTTTTCAGTGCTGCATGTTTAAATACTACAGTCAAACATGCTGTATTTGCTCTATTTACTCCGGAGAGAAGTCAGGTCGGGTTTAGAAAGGGCAAAATCACATCTTCTGGCCTGCAGGCTGGTATTCGCAGGGAGATCTGAAGGCTGCCACACAATCAGACGTTTGGGGGGCTGACCTACTTTTCACTGTCTCTCTTGCCTGTTTGAAGTTTATTTTTGGATGGGTGGCAGCACAACGTTGCTGCTGAGTTACAATGTGGCACAAAGCCCCATGCCACGCAACAGGTCAGCAGGAGGGTTATGAGTCCCACCTGCCCATTCAAACTACTGCAAGGTCTGATGTTTAAAGCAAGGAGAGCTTAATATATTTTATCCTGTTTCTGCCTTACTGCAAGTTTCTGGACACACATCTGTAGAAATGTCCCTTGGTTTTTGTCCCTTGGTTTTTTGAAGCATCCAGAACTTGAATTCCTAGCTCCAAACCCCCTAAGGTCCACAGACTGTGTCCAGGGAGCAGAGCAAGACAGTGACGTGGGCTTTTGGGGGAGAAGCTGAGACATATATAAAGCTTGCTGTACCTCTGTTCATGTGCATGCTGAGAGGTCACTTTACAAGGTAATGTTTAAAAAGGGCTTTGAGATCCTGTGGTGTGGAGCTAGGTAGCTGCTTTCTAACAGTAGGACACTACAACATAATAGTGCAACAGCCCACCATCGTGGTACGATTTGGGGTGCAATTACCAATCACTCAGAGAAATTTTTGAGAGATGAAGGATTTTAAGTAACCAAGCAATGCTTTGGTATTGCAGCTATTTAAGTGCATGTCAACTTTTGAACTGATGGTTTTCCAGAGAGCAGCTCTCCAGTCTGAGTTCAGGCTCCGGGTTACATAAATCGTTAATGATAAGGACATGTAGAAATAGTTTAATCTGCAATTACTTAATTCTCTTTGATTAACCAATTACAACAGGCGTTTCCTCAACTCTGCTGATGGCAGCGCTTTGTAGCAGGGCTGCAGCCTGCGCTAGCTGCTCTTGCTGTTTCTCCGCTGACAGCTGCCTGGCTCTGACGGTGCAACGCTCTAATTAATCACAGCTTTTTATTATTATTTTTTTTTAAAAAAGGACTGATATCTTCATAGGCTACTTTCTACCCTCAGAAATCCCTGATGTTTTTTCTCTTTCCAGAATAACTAGGGCACTTAATATGCCGTTGACTGATGCACAAGCGCCAGGACCAGAATCCCTCTATTGTCCCTGAGGATCAAACGCTCGTAGCGAGTCGGGCGCTTGCATCTCTGAAGTTGGCATTGACCATTTTCCCTTGGCTGGGGGTGTGAAACAGAAAGCTGATTGCTGCCGACACACTCACTGCAGGCTGTTTTCGGAGCTCATGGTGATGTGGGAGCCACTGGACATTAGTCCGTACCCCAAATCACATCCCTGCACCTGATGCTCTTGCTTTGAAGTGTGTGTGGGGGGAATGTAAATGATTTTTTTTTTTAAAGGGATGCAAATCAGATGCTCTCAGGTTTAGCTGACTGGCTTAAAATAGCAAATACAAAAGATGAGATTTATAGGGTGAAAAAGAGTCCTCGCAGGCTTAATCTGTTGGACAAAAAGCCTCTGATCTCACTGTTTTCTTAGCCAGAAAGAGATGCCTGTGTAATCTATGGAAGGAGGCAGTAAATATCTCCTCACAAAAATAAACCACTTTAAAAAAGAACAAATAGAAACCCCACATTGTTGAGGTTATTTGTTGGTTTTTCCCCCAGCCGGTTTTCCTTTTTTCTTTAGAGATATCTTGTCAATAAGCTTAGAATCAAAAGCAGGGAAAAAAAGGAAGCTTGCTTCCCTTCCCAAGTCAAGACAGTGCAAATATATTAGCACGGCATCTTTTTGCTGGGTAGACTGAAAAGGTTTTCAGACTCAAAAATAAAAACTCCACACAAAAAAAACCCTGAATTCCAGATCATTATAAAATGTGTGCTTCCCACTGAGTTTTCTGCTTTCTCTGGGAGACTTAGGGAGGTGATAATCCCTTTCTATATTGCTCCAGCTTTAAGATCACTTGGCATCTTGCGTATAATACTGGGCACCTCAATATGGAAAGACACACTAGGAATTTGGAGGGAGTTCAGCAGCAACCCAAAGGGAAGGGGTCATATGTGCTGAATCATGTGGAAAGACTGTGATAATTAAGTATGCAGCAGAAATCCCAGCTGACCAGAAACAAAGAATGGATGAGACTGTCCTGTGAAAGGGCTGGAAATAAGATTTGAGAGAGAATTTTTAAGCAGGTACAAAGATGCATAGCAAGGACAGCATTTGTTAAGGGAGAACTTGAGTTAAAAAGGAGGAAAAGTGCCTTGAAATTGAAAGGCCAAGTTGTCTTTCCTGGCTGGTGTATGTGAAAAGGTGCTTGTGGTCCCTAGACGCTCTCTCTAGCTCTGGCTGAGCTTTTGGAGGTCTGTGCTGGGAAGAACAACCTTTCTGGGATTTACTCACTAAATTGCAGGTTTAGAGGCTTGAGGTGGTTCGGAAAGGCCAGCTCTTGAAAGGAAGAGCAGAAATGAAGAGGGACTGCAGGGATGTGGCAGAGAGCAGGGCAAAGGAAGAGCATGATGCAAGAGCTGGAGGTACAGGAGGAAGGATGGAAGGCAGAGTCCACCCTTTCCACCTTGGGGTATACCTGTTTACAACATTTACTGGTTGTGATGTGCTAGCTGGTCTCCAGCAAACATCAGCTGCAGCTACATAGCATCAGGCTTGGTCTAGTCCCTTGTGCACCTGTGGCTTCTGCCCTTGCTGCTCTCCCATCTCAGGCAGGTCTCCTTCTGGTGTAGGCAGAGTAAGTCCTCTTACTCATCATCAGCATGGAATGGACCATGACTTCAGCGTTACAGCTTTTGCACCGACCTCCCGGAGAAGCCTGAGGTTGCGGCTTGTTGCAGGGAGCTGAGCAGATGTGGTCAGTGAGGTCTGCAGGTGGACAAGGACTGGGGTGCAAAGCCATCTCCATGAGACCCGCGGAGAGTGCAGCTCTCTGCCCATGCATGCTTCAGGTGAAGGCACCAAAATTAGTCCGGGTCCTGTTCCTGCTGCATCGGGTGCTGAGTTATGAATCATTAGCAACCCTATACATGGTGTCCAGATTAATAAATTAGCCGCCTTCTGCCAAAAACCAAGTTGCAGCAGTGCCGCTAGGGAAGGTGCTCGTTTTTTCTCTCTGGGCACGTAGTGTCTGTGCCTCTGCTGCTGTCCAGGAGAGCCAAGCCATCCTTTGGGGCTCGTTACCAGATTGAGAGGTGCAGCCGCAGCTCATTAGTGATGTTGGGGTGGGGAGGAGGCGCTGGAGGGGAGCTCACCACTGCTCTCTGGCAGGGAGCTGGGGATATAAATGTCTCTATTTGCAAGGGAGAAAATGGAAGGAAAAGTGATACAAGTATGAAATCAGAGAGTTTTCCAAATAGGTGCGTACTCTGTGCTCTGATCATTCAGGAGACTCAACCAACCATGTGGGCTGAGCAGGGCTTGGGAAGAGGGTAAATAAAAGTGCGCATTTCTCCTTCCACTGGTGAAACACCACTTGTCAGGCTTCCATTTAAGGAGCAGTCCATGATACAAGAGTCTCCTGAGGTATCTCAAGATACTTCATGTTTTTAATCTATTCCAGGCAGCCTGGTTTTTGTGGAGCTATATCAAATCCCTGGATGTATCACCCAGCTTTAAGCAGGGAGCCGGCAGCCAGGTTTGCTGCTTACCCCAGATGTGAAGCTGGGCAGTAGTTGGTCACCAGCTCATCTAGGAGCTGGGGATTCATTCATTAGTGCACAGGGCTCGTTAAGATGCCTCCACTGGGGGACCTTCAGGTCCTCAGCATCTCCCCGGGCAGTGTCCTCACCACAGCTACTGGGAGCAGTGCTCCAGTGAGGTGACCATGTCCCATGCTGAAAACACCTTGAAGGTTTTGAAATGAATCTTGGGATAAACAGCGGGGTTGGGAGCCTCTTCTAAAGCCCCAACACATGGCAGGAGGATGAGACAAGCTCCTCAGGTGCGGGTCCAGGGGTTTACAGAGGACATGGACACCCGGCTCACAGGGCTGAGCCCCCCGGGCTGGGGAGAGCCATGCTTTCCCCCTCGCCCAGTGCCCACTTCTGTGAGAATGATCCCCTGCATCACGTATGTCCCTCTGCATTCTTTTACAGAGCGACTTGTGGTCTTTGGGGATAACGGCCATCGAGATGGCGGAAGGCGCTCCCCGTAAGTAGATGCATTGCTCTGCTTTAATTAACCCTGGGTTGTAACATGCTGGGTTTTGCTGAGCACCAGCCAGCGCTCGGTTCTGTGCAAGAAACACTGTGCAGTGACTCCTGTCATGCCACTTAAGCACTCTGGGACTCAGTTTCCTCAAATAAAATACATATGAAGAAGAGGTGGAGGACTGGAAGCAAGTAAAACACTGCTCCTCAGCGCTGGTGTTTTGCTGACCTCCGCAGTGACACAGATAGTGGCACACTGGGTTCAGCTGGTGCCTCTGCATACTGCCATGGTTTTTCAGTGTTATCCTGGGACCGTCCTTGCGTGCTGGTAAATGCAAGTAAATAAAGCGGAGCGTAGTGGCATGTGGGCCCGTTGCTGTCAGCACCTGGCAGGGTGCTGGGGACACGCAGCTGCAGGAGTGAAGGTGTCCCCAGCCAACCCCTGCTGCTGAGCCCAGCCGTGCTGGGGACACACACGCCAGTTGACTGAGGACGTTGGCTTTCACCTGAGCTCCAGGCTGCTGCTGGGCCAGGGTCTGCAGGGGGTTGTCACTGCAAATCCTCCTGTCCTACAGGTCTTGTAGCTTCAGAGGAAACTTGGGTCTCCCCAGTTGGGCGTGTAGACTTTTTAGGAAGCCCGGGGGGTCTGCAAGATGCTGTGCCATATTTAATGCCTATTCTTGCACATTGCAGCTCTCTGTGACATGCATCCCATGAGAGCCCTCTTCCTCATCCCCCGCAACCCAGCCCCGAGGTTGAAATCAAAGAAGTGGTGAGTCTCTTTCTGAATCTTCAATGGCTGTAAAAATGTCTCTGGAGCAACTTGTTTCTGCAGCCCGGGCACGCTGGGGATTTGGTGTTTACATTTATATAGCTTCGAGGGTCAGTGATGGTCTCCAGCATCACTCCGGTGAGTGCAAGTTTGGGTCTTGATCGCCTACGGAGAGGCAGTTTGGTCTGAAGGAGTCATGTACCATGGGATGGAGGACTTCCTAGGTAGGCAGAGAGGGGAACACTCTCTAATGCTGCCATTGCACAGCACGGAGTCAGCTTTTCCAAGGCAGTTCGTGCAGCCTGAAGCCAGATGACACTTTGCTTGGCTCCCAAATCTTTCCAGTCAGGTTCCCTTTTCAAGTGGAAACGTGTATCTGTGCCAAAAAAAGGATAGTTTATCTTGAAGGCCCAGGAATGCGGGGATTTGTACTTAGTTGGGCTTTATTTTACAATTTTGCAGGAAAAAATACATCACTGTTTTGAAGGAAAAAAAAAAAAAAGGCAGGGCACGCCAATAAAAACCCGTAGGAAAAATATTCCTGAAGCCCAGCAGATGTTGTTTTGTTACTGTATGTTCTGTACTGATGGAGCTGGAGTCCTTAAAAACACTCATCTTTGGTTCGTGCTGTTTGCCTGCCCCAGGTTCAGCAGTGGTTTGGTCAGGAAAGACCTACCAGATGTTAGAGAGACAGCACTGCCCATTGGTCCTAGATAGGCTGAGCTCACAGAGGGAAGGTTTGCCTTACTCCTTGAAATTATGCTTATTATCTTATTTAAGACACACAAAAAAAAGGAGAAGAGTAATTGCTAAGTATTGAAAACACTTTGTGCCAAAGCAGCAGATATTTTGTTGCTGGGAGAGGAGCGACAGGGGCTTGGAGTCCTCTGCATCAGATGCATGGTGTTGGGGTTTTAGGACCAGCCCCATAAAAACTCACCCAGGCTTTGGCAGGAGGCATGTTAATTTTGTCAGCCCGATCATCAGCTGCTCTAGAACCAAACCAGGAGGAGAGAGACCTTTCCCGGCTGGTTCTGCCGAGGGTGTCAAAGGTGCTCGCTCTCCTTGCACAGCCTTTTGAGGATACCATTAGTCATCTGAGAAAACAGTTTATACACTTGTTTTCTGCCAGATCACCAGTCTCCTACTTCATTATCCTCACTGCTACAGCACAAAATGGATTGTCAGAATTTAGGGTTTATTTTTCATACAAAAGTGCTATTTATTCAGCAAAGGCTTCCTCAGCCTCCAGGCAGAAGGGAGCTGATGAAAGCAGGTTTTGAGCAGAACATTTCCGCATCTCCTTAAGGTAAAAGCTGAGCTGGGGTGGAAGTTGTATTTTAGTGCCTGCTCTGAGATACCGGGATGTGCTTTGTGCAAGCCAGGGTGTTGCTTGGCACCACCTTCCCCTCGCATGGCCGGTGGCTGTCTCAGGTTTGCACATCTTGTGGTGATGAACCATGGTGGTGTCTGTCCAGGGTCGGCTGGTCCGTCCAGGGCTGTGCTCTGCCCATGCTAGGGACTGCATCCCAGCTGCTTTGAGAAAGGGATCACTTTGGAACTCATAGTTTAATGAAACTCCAGCTTTGAACACCTCTAGGGGAGCGTGGTGCTCACCTGGCCTCTGCTGCCCCTCCATGAGCAAGCAGGGATCTCTGGTCTCCAGCAGAGCTGGGACACGTGTACCCTGGGCAGCTCAAACCTATATTCATCTTCCAAGCTTTCATTGCAATGAGAAACTCCATAGGACCCAGATGAAGCTCCAAGCCAGTACGACTCCACCGATTCCTTAAGAGCAATTTTTTTTTCAGCATTTTCAGTGGGACATCAGGCAAACTTGCTGTCCTTGGCTCATTTCTCAGCTGGAGGTTTTGGGCCCGGCCAGAATGGGTCCCGGAGCTCTGCAAGCCTGACCCAAGAAGACTGGAGGTGTTTAACCAGGCTTTCACAGTGGCTCTCTGGCCGTCAGTGGTTTTCACAAGCACAGATCACAAGAGAAAAACAAAATAAAGAAAGGTTCAACTTGAACCTTGAGTTCATCCTTGCTTCTGTGTGCAACAACACATGAAAGTACACCAAGTGGGTAGACCATCTTTTTCCTTATGTGAAAGAAATAGCGAAGTGACTCCAGCACCTTTGAGGGTAAGTCACAGAAAGCCGAGAGGGAAAGCATGCATGGGAGCTGGCCCGAATCGAAAGTCCCAGAGAGGAAGATACTTTTGCTGTATACTAAATCCTTGAACTAGCTTTTAAAATAGTGCTGTGTTCCTATGAAAATTAGAGAGTCTTTGGTATCATTTTCTTTCCCAATTAAAACCAGCCAGCAACAAAGCTTTATTTTCTTCTTCCCGTGTTTCACAGATAAAACGAACTTTAGTGATGTTATTCCCACAAACAATCCTCAGCCCTGCCTTGTATAAGATGGCAAAACCTCTGTGTTAATGAGGTGATATTTGCACTGTGATACCACTTTTCATCCCAGCAGCTGCAAAGACTTTGCAAACATTGATTTAAGCTTTACAAACCCCAGGAGCCGAAGAAGCTCGTGGTTCATGAAGATGAACTGACCTGCGCCCGGGGAGGGGATGAGACGTGTGATGGTGTCCTCCTGGATCAGAGCCAGGGAGAAAGCCCTTGTCCTCTGCTCCAGCCCTGGTGAGGGCTGAACTGTGCCACACTGGACAGGCTTGCTTTTTTGGAGAGGAAGATTTCAGGAAAACCAGAGGCGTGAGCTGGTCCCTCTCCATAGCTGCTCAGCCAGCTCGGGGATGCAAAGGTGTCTTAGGGCATCGCAGGGCTCTGGGACCCCCATCCCCAAGAGATGGGCAAACCCATCACTTACTGGAGGATAACTTTTTAGCTACTTCAGCTTGACCATATTTGTTTCTTGAGGCAAGGTGGGGAAGGAAGATTTGTTCATTAATAAAGCTGGAGGGAGGATTTAATTGGATCTAGTAGCTTATTTTATTTTTGCATCTCAATTTGTATGGATTAGCACTTAAAAGATAAATCACTTTTAGTCTGACAGCTTAAAAGTAAAATCCCTGAAAGCTTATTGTTTTACTTCTAATGCAATTCTGTAGTATCTGTTGGCTTCTGACATTAATTTACACTCATTTTCCTATTTGCTATAGCAACATAGAGTAGAGTGGCCTGTCAACATCTTTCTTTCTTGTAAATCCCTGTTCTCTTGGGTTTATAATGTAGTGAAATTAGTTGCAGGAAAACTTTTGATATGCAACACTTGAGACTAAGAGAAATTTGTTTATTAAAGATTTGGCTGAAATTGTTTTAGCTAAGATTGGATTTAACTGTTTCCGGGAAGGCAAGCTGTTGAGGAGGGACTGGGCTCTGCCACCCACAGCCGCGTTCCCACCTCTGCCCAAGCTGTGCTGCCCGAAGAGCACATCTCATTTGCCTGGGTTTGTGATTGGGGAGACCGGGACATGGTGGCCCCCAGGACTTGGTGGGTCAGTAATGCTGCTGGGGCTCACCCTGAGAGAGCAGGGAAGGGCTGCATGCAGCGAGCATCGCCCAGAGGTTGTCTGATCTTTAACAAGACATGTAATGTTGGGTGGTTAAATCTAAAAAAACCATCAACCTAGCTTGTTCCACTCATCTTCAGAAAGGTACATCTCTTGAAACACCACCCGTGGCCACAAAATATGGAAACAATCCGTTAAGGAATTGCATTTATATCTGTATGTGGTGTCTCTTGTTTCTACCTGCACTTTCACAGGGCAAAGGGAAGGGAGGAGGAACACTTCCTTGCATCTTCTTGGTTGCCATTGATGACATCTGGCTTTGGTGATTCCCCAGTCATACTGATGGTTCCCAGCTTTCTCCAGACTCAGCAGAATGGTGATTTCCCCTAGTTGCACCAGGAAGGCATAGATAGGAGTGTGCATGGAAAGGGTAGGAGAGGATAAAGTGAGAGAGGGCACATGTGATGGTCCTGCTTTGAGACTGTGCTAAGCATCAACAGAGAAGTCATGTGAATCCGCTTGGAAGGCTGCATCTGAGCAAGAACTGTGTAGCAGCCAAGCGATCTCAAATGCCCACAAGTTTCTCACTTTCTAATACAAGAATCAATATAGTTACCTGTTTTTTCAATACCTTCCTTTTGTTTCTTGGGCCAGGTCTAAAAAGTTTCAGTCCTTCATTGAGAGCTGCCTAGTGAAGAACCACAGCCAGAGACCAACCACAGAGCAGCTGATGAAGCACCCCTTCATCCGAGACCAGCCCAACGAAAGGCAGGTCCGCATCCAGCTCAAGGACCACATCGACAGGACTAAAAAGAAGCGAGGCGAGAAAGGTTAGTGGAGAAGCAGTGCTCTGGGCAATCCTTGACCTCTGCCATGTGCTTGGAGATCCCTAGGGTAGACCAAGGCGCATCTGTGAGGGCGAAACATACGGGTAGAAGGAAGGCAAAGAGGACTGGCTTGCTCATGGTCTCAGTTTCCCTTATTCAGATGGCTAAGTTTGTTCGCAAACTGGTTGAATTAAATAGGTGCGGTCCTTCTGTGTGACCACGCTTCTTATGGTTTTGAGGTCAGATTATTTGGTTTGATTTGATTCTTCTCAGTCACTGAAACAAAAATAAATATCCATTACAAAACAATAGGTGTTCATACAAAATCTACAGGTGATTGTCATCGGAGCTAAGCAGTGTTTTTAAATCTTCTCTTTTTCTGGTGAAAAATGGTGTCTTTTTTGTCCAAGTGATAATTTCCACATGGAACATTTAAGCTTTGATTCATTAAAATGTGTGTATAAAATTTACATCTGCATATATACGTACTGGTGTGTGGGAGGGAGAAACTGCTAAGCTGAATTTTTCCCAGCTCACGTCTCATGCCAAGTCTGTTGATCTACGTGACATTCATGCTGCACCAGCGTGAGCAGAGTTGTGCAAATGAAGATCTAGATAAGGCCCTTGCCCCAAAGCTATTCTGTTGACCAGGAATAACCTATTAAACTGAATGTTTTCAGTGAACTCTCCAGGCCCTATCAAAGTCTTCTGAAAGGAAGATCAGATAGGCGAAGAAACTTGTTAAAGTATTCAGCTGCTTGTGAACTGAGTTTTAACTGAAAGCTCATTTGTATAATCCAGCAAATTAATATGTTGCTATTTCTCTTCTTATTGGTCGCGGTATTAATTTTTCATGTGTACCTTCCAGCCCCTTGTAATAGATTTCACTACAATCAAAACAACAAAATGGGATCCCACTGAAGTATTAAATGTGTTTAGTCTGGCAAATGAAGGTTGGACCCTAGAGATGGAGAGTAATTGGATAAGAGCAAGCCTTTCTTTTACTATCATTCGCTTCATCTGATAAAGATGATATCCCAACAGAAATCACAGTATGTAGCGCAACATTGCAGTTGGGCTTTTATGTAGATGTCTTCGTTGCCTGGAAAATACATGGATTTGCATAGGAAGAGCATATGCTTAGAGAGAGAGGAGTTGGTGCCTTCAGAGCCATAGTTAAATCCCACCTTCCAGTGCCTGTGGCTTCAATAGCTTGTGGTGCGCCTCCCTTTGAAGAACCCTCCTGAAGAAGAGGGTCACTCACTGTCATAAGGGGATAAATTCTTATTTTATGGACACTGCCCATCTTTACATCGAATGTCTTCAGTGGTTGGGGCTGTTGCCCACTGTGCTGGTGCTGCCCGTGGTGCTCCGGCCAGGACTGCAGCCCTCTTCCTGGCCAGCACAGGCGTGCAAGGTGCCAGCACCCAGGGAGACCACCCATGCTTCCCTGGCCTTGCAGCCCCCCATAAAAACAGAAAATGGAGAGAAATAATGCTGCTTATTCCTTGTCACGCGAGAAGGACAGAGTTGTCTGTTCTGCCTTCAGAGCTCTGGGGTTTTCAACCACTGGAAAAACAAATGAGTCCAGCAAAGGACACTGATGAGCAATTCTGTTCCTAGATGAGACAGAGTATGAGTACAGTGGAAGTGAGGAGGAGGAGGAGGAAAATGACTCTGGAGAGCCCAGGTAAGAATCAGCATTTCATTTCTGCCCTTACATCTCTCTAACTCTGTATAAAATAGGCTTGGATTACAGGCTCGTATGAACTAGAGATGGAAAAAGGACAGTTTGAGCACTCAGTCCCGTTCCCTGGCAGAACAGAGTATATTCCCTCTGCTAGATGGTGCGTGGGTATAAAATGATGCTACAGGTCACCTTGGCCAAAAGCTGGGGAAGAAGACCCAGGTACCCCATTGCCTGTGGGATCTGCAGCGCGGTGTGGTGCTGTCATGGGAATATGGGTATTTAGATGTGGTAAAAATGTGAGGTGAAATTAAAGAAGACTCTTTAAAATGTACTTCCGTACATCCAAGTGTAACTCCCTATTTTCGTGTAACTTTTCGCCATGAAACCTCCCCGGTGCTGCTGCAAGCGCGGTAGGGCTGGAACTTTCTTTGGTGACACTTTTCAGACCCGTTGTAATTAGTATCAGGTTATTCCATTATTTCACTGAGATAATGTAGTATTTTAATAGCTGGCAATGATTCATGCTAGATGTGCTTTGTGAACAGCTAAATATAGTGTGTGCCACTGCAGCACAAGAGGCTTTGGTTAGAAACTTAACGTAAAGGAAACCTTTAGCAAATAAATTGCTGGTCAGCTGTGAACAGAGCGCTGTGTCTGCTGCCCTGCCCTGACATTTGTGGTCCCCCCATCCCTCCATCCGCTGCTGCCCAAGCTCTGTCGGGTGTTGAGATGCTGTCGGGATGAAGGGGAGAGGAGCCACAGCAGAAAATCACACAGAACTTCACCTGGCAAGAGGTTTAAGGATGCGAGGTGGGAATCTTCTCTGATGCTTCTCTCCTATGCAGCTCCATCCTAAACCTGCCTGGGGAGTCAACGCTGAGACGGGATTTCTTGAGGCTGCAGCTGGCGAACAAGGAGCGGTCGGAGGCGCTGCGCCGGCAGCAGCTGGAGCAGCAGCAGCGGGAGAATGAGGAGCACAAGCGGCAGTTGCTGGCTGAGCGGCAGAAGCGGATTGAGGAGCAGAAGGAGCAGAGGCGAAGGCTGGAGGAGGTAACTGGCCAGAGCTGAGCAGTGGGCTGGCAAAGGCTGGTTTTGGGTGGAACAGCGGGATTTCTGGTAGCAGGTCCCAAGTGACTGTTCTCAGCCTGGTTTAAGATGATCATGCCCTAACCTCTCTAGTTGGTAACCCCAAATGTTTTGTTACGCTGGACAAACACTCCACTCATGCTTTTTGCATACCAGCCTTCAGCCACCCTCCTCACCATAGTTAACTGTTGCCAACTCCTGTGAAGGTAATAGAGCTGGTTTGCTATAAATAAACCCTTGAAATACCAAACTTAAAAGGATCCCTGGAACTACTGAGCAGAGTTAGCCCATTGTTGGGGTGATAGCTTATTCAGTCAAGGTGGGCAAAACTCTTACTGGTCCAGGCATCAAGTTCGTTATCGTTATTTGCTGCTGTGGACTGTTACAGTTGAGAAGCTGCTGAATAGCTCCGTTTGCCCTTTCCCCAGATCCATGTGCCACTTGTGTCCCTTTTAATCCCCAATTTCAACTTTAGTCCTTCCAGTCCCTGCCAATTACAATTTCTCTTGCAAGGGAGGGGCAGATGCCTGCCTGACTTGTGCAATGATCCATATGTGCCCTGAAGCATAAGATTTCACTACCCTTGTCTTAACATACCAGCTACAAATGCGATCGGTCATAAAATTATCCACCCCATTTAAAATCCAGCTGCAGGATTTGACCGGGTGACTTTGGGTGTCTGATTTGCACAGCCCAGCTGCATTCTCTGTATGAAGTGCTCACTTTTGGTTTAGCTCTCAGTTTCCTGGATTGCAGAAGTCCACCAAAGAATAAGGGGCAGTTTCTCCTGTTTTGGGGGTTTTGATGTGGTTTTGCACAAAGAAACCCATTGCCTCGCACTGAACTCATCCCAAGTGTCTCGTTGAAGGGCTCATACATTAAGGGTAATTAAATTAGCTTTCCAAAGAGGTCACTGATATGTCTGAAAAAAAGGACTTGGAGTAAATGGGCTATTAGAGCAGTCACCCCCTTAATTTGCACAAGCCAGAGTGTCTCTTACATTTAACCTGACTCTTGGTGTGGTGGGTGATACCTCCAGACCAGGGGCACAGACAGGAAGGAATTTCAGGCAGCTGATGGTGATGATGATGGGGATGGTACAGCCTCTCTTCGAGGTGGTCCTCTGAGCCCCACCAGGGCAAAAAACAACAGGCAAATCCCAGGCAAAGCATTTTTTCAGTCTGGTAAATATGTAGGTCTGTCGTGTTGTCAGAGCACAGAGCATTGCGTGTTCAATACATTGTAGGTCAGGTTTTGCTTGCGTCCTGCACCCTTCCCAAAGCTGGAGAGCTGCTTTGAGAGAGGATGGGGTTTGCACGTAGACGCACCCCGAAGTCCCCTGCCCCAGTAGATCTGAGGACTGTTGTAAGGAAGCCTGGCTCTGCCTTTGTCCCAGTCTGCTTGCTGCAAGCGGTACAGGAGCAGAACAACAGCAGAATAAAAGCAGACACCAGATTAGCTGCAATCCTGTAATGAATACAATGCTTGCTGCAGTATTAATACGTTCTCTTCACATAGAAGAAAATTGTTCTCTCTCTTTGCCGCTTCCCAGGCAGGTTTTGAATGGAGGACTAATCCCCTTGCTAAGCTGGTGAGCTCTGCCCTGAGCTACAGAGGCGCTGCCTTGCAGGGCCCGGCTGTGCGCAGCCCTCCCAGGCTCTGCTGATCCCCCCGTGCTTTACCCCATGTCATTAAAAGCTAATGCCACCATAGCCAGGATTTAAAATCAATGCCTCTGTTTCTGGTGGCTCTAACAGCCCCCCTGGGCTCTTCACCCATTGCCTTCTTCCCAGCTGCCTTACAATTTTTGGACCTAAATTGAGAGAGAGATATCTGCTGGGGCAAAGCCGGTGAAGAGGCATTTTCATGCTCTTGCCGTGTTGGAGAAGTGGGGAAAGACAGTGGGACTGTAACTGAGGGGCATCCTCTGTCCACCCCGGTGTGGGGCCACTGGCGTGATCAGCCCTGTGGGTTCAGCCAGGATTAGGGCAGAGCAGGCAGCTGCTCGCAGGTGGCTGCAGTGTCCCCAGCATCTTCTCAGGTGCCTACCTCAGGTCTGTCTAGCTAGGTTTAGCCTCACCTGCATCTCCAGCCACGGAGTAAAATGAGCTCTCCTCTCTGTTAGACACCATTTGTGTGGCGAGCAAGAAACATAGCTGAGTTGCTATGGTGAGGATTAAAGCAGGAGTCCTTGAAGAGGTACAAACTTTCTGTTGCAAATGCGGTGGGTTGTGGCAGCAGTTAGGAGGGGATGCTCCCCAGCGCGGCTGGCTGTGGCTTTGCCAGCTGCAAGGTGTCATGTATCTGCTGTGGGCTGCTGTAGGAAAACCAGAAAAATAGAGGCAGAGATTAGCAAACAGAAAGTTTTGTCGCTTCTGCAGGGAGTGGGATAGAGGAGCTGCACAAGCAGCTTTGAGCATCTTCCCCTTGAGCTTCCTGCTCATGGAGGAGTTCTAGTGTCCGCCCTGGGGAGGGATGCTCCCTCTGCCCAGGGACATGGGAAGGGGTTTGTACTCTCAGGCTTTTCTAGTGTCCGCACTGGGGAGGGATGCTCCCTCTGCCCAGGGACATGGGAAGGGGTTTGTACCCTCAGGCTGACCCACTATTTCTAGCACAGCCAGCCAGTAGTGGATATAGTTTGGTCTTTGTGTTCTTCCCATGTATTTTGGGGCAGGAAGCATCTGATGGCCAGACAGAGGTACCAAACAGCGGCTGTCACAGCTGTGCCGAGTTTGCTAGTACTGCCTGGCGGCTCCCAGCACACTCCTTCTATGTTGCTGCAGTTTTGCTCCAGAGAGCAACGCTGCTCCAGCTCTCCTACCCATCACAACGGCACCCAAACCCTTCAGCAGAAGCCAGGCCTTTTGGCCTCTCAGTGTTTTCTTACGCTAGCTTTGCACTAACTTCAGTTGTTGACTCTTGGCTCTGGATTTATTTTGGTTAATGGGAACATGGTTTCTTCCATGCTTCTTTATGGTCTGACTAAGACGGGGTGTGCCTCCAATAGGCAGCACTGTACCAGCAGATCTCTGGGAGGAGAGATGAGTGGAAGACTCAGATTACTGTATTTTCAAAATAAAGTTGACCTTTAAAACCCAGTAGAGCATCCGGGACAAATAAACACTTGGAACTGGTGGCTTTTGGGGCTCCTAAGTCAGACTGTTTAGTACTGCCAGGCATATTACTGTGTTTATAGAAAGAGCTCTGACTCATAATAAGACGCCGTGAAGGTGGCCAGGCTGAGCGAGCGCATCAGCTGGGCCCCAGCACAGCACCAAAAGGATTGACTTCAGAGGATGCCAAGCTCAAAAATGCCTGGAGTTAATTTGTACTGGAGATGCACAGCAAAAGAGCTGGAGAAAGGCTGTTAGTGGGATAACTGGTCCATTCCTCTGTCAGAGCAGACCTTCAGAATATTTTCTTGTTGTTTTCCAATCTCATTTTTAAATACTGCCAGGGATAGAGCTCCCACCATTTCTGTTCCCTCACGCAGCAGAGCTCATAATGAAAGAATCCCATTTTTTCTGTCATCTTGATCTTCCTAAACCAGGATTTCTGAACCTCTCACAAAGTACCTCTCATTTTAGGGCCTTTTTGGGGAAATCCACCATCTCCTAATGTTGCTCTGGCAATAACACTAAATGCGTATATAAAAAAGTCAAGTAAGGAAGTCTGCTAGTGGTCACCTGGTGCACCTCATGCTGCCCCTGAGACCTGCTGCCATCCTTAGCATGCCTCCTTGCATCTGTCAGACACCTGAGTCTCCTTTTTCAACAGCTGACCAATTTCCTTCTTTAAGGCTGAATCTTCTTCCAGGCAGCCAGAGAGATTTAGATTTGCAGCTGTCTTTAATTGTGGTGGAAGTAAAAATCCCCAAGCTAGCTTTGAAACCGGGACTTTCATGGGAGTAGAGTTGCAGCTTTGTTTTCCCTCGTGCAGAAAGTTGGTCTCATGAATTCAAAATGTGCACCAGAACTAACTGAAAAAACCCCAAATTAGAGAATTAAAGATCAATAGATCAAATAGCACTAAGGAAAATATCTGTGTAATGCAGAAAGGTGAATAGGCTTGAATATATTTTAATTTTTCCCTATATATACATATATTAGAGATACATAGTTCCCTAAGAAACCCTCCATTTGTTGCTGGCACAGAATGAGCCTTGATGCACCAGTTTAACCACCAAAACTCCAGCTGAGCTGTAGGAATAACACATCTCCCGGTCAGGAGCATTAGGGATCCTGCGAGACAAATCTCTGTGCCAGACCCCTTGGCAGCAGTGGGCAGATGTAGTCAGGGAGGGGTTTACATAACCTCATTTTTTTGCCATGTTGTGGATTTTTGTCCTTTCTAGGTATAAAATGAAGGTCAGATCTTCACAGGGAATGTACAAGGCAAATCTAAGCATCTTGCTGTTTGCATGTGAGGTTTCATTCAGTGCAGTTATAGAGCTGGATGTTCAGGGGATAAAAAATTGCTGCAGCTCCTTTATATGTTAACCAGCAGAAGACCGTCTACTGGAAGCTCTTATAAAGCAGTGCAAAAAAATTCCAGCAATTAATTGTAGATAAACGTAGGTTAGCTAAAATGGTGGTTGTTATTTTCTTCTGCATATGCAGGTGTCATGTAGCTTTTAGAAACATTTTCATGAAGACGACAGCCCTCTCGCAGTAGTATGGTACATGGGGGTACTGCAGTGGTCCTGGCAGCAGTCCTGTACCCATTTCCAAGGAGCGCTGCGTTACAGCAGCTCCTGTAGTACACGTATGTGGTAAGCCTTACATCTCTCTAGTTTTTCTTTGGTTAGAAAGCATGTAGAACTCAGATTCTGAAGCATGAGCCTTTTCCTGCATGGAGCATCCCTTCACGATGATCCTGACTAAAAGCTCCTGCGATGGTTCAGAGCATATCAGATCCCCGTTTGCCATGGTGGGAAGTTCTGACCCAGTTTCTCTACCAGTGGGAAACACCTCTTCATGCTCCAGTGCTTGGTGTGTCAGGAAAGATGATGTTCCAGCCACAGTCACTCTTTCCCTGGTGGCTCAGATAAATGAGTCTGTCACAACAACGCAACCACCTAGAATATTAGTTTTCATTTGTCACTTGGAATTCCCCTTCCACTTTGCTGGGTCATGCTTGTGTTTGGGAGCAGCAGCCAAGGTTTCCAGGAGCCTCTTCTTGGAAGTGTTGGTACCTCTCCGAGCTTGCCAGGGTCACGGGGCAGCTCCAGCTCGCTGATTGCTTGTAGTCCTGAATGTGTCTGATCTAACAAAGTGAGTTTGCTCTTTGAAGTCCTTGTTTCATGCCAGGCCTCCAAGGGCCTTCCCACCAGAGGTTTTGCCTTCGTGTGTCTTCCTTCATCAATATTTAAAGCCTGTCATTTCTAGTGCAGCACAAATAAGGTCCCATTCTGGCTTACAAGCAGCTACATATAGCTTTACCTGCAGAGTTATATAAATGCAGTCCTAATTAATTGGCGCTCTTGCCTTGCATGAATAATAGGTCTGGATAGTGTAAATACACACAGCAGTTTCAGGCTTGGAGAAACATGGGAAGTATGCATTCGCAGTGAGAGAGGGAGGGCAGAAAACAGGGAGAAAAGGAGGCAAATACAGAGAGATCTTTGAATCTCTCCCTTTTTTTTTTTTTTTTTTTTTTTTTTTTTTTTTTTTTTTTTTTTTTTTTTTTTTTTTTTTTTTTTTTTTTTTTTTTTTTTTTTTTTTTTTTTTTTTTTTTTTTTTTTTTTTTTTTTTTTTTTTTTTTTTTTTTTTTTTTTTTTTTTTTTTTTTTTTTTTTTTTTTTTTTTTTTTTCCTCCTTTCTACATGCACTTTCCACATGCAGTTTTCGGCTGCATCTCACTGAGCCCAATCCCTGCTTTAAACAGGGTCCCCGTCACCCCGGCGCTGCTTGGCACCAGCGCAAGCAGAGGTAGAGGGGAGATGGGTGCATTGCTGGAGGCTTTGCCCACTGCAGTGCCAGGTCCTCTCCAGATGTTTGCCAGCTGCCGAAGCGGGGCCGTATGAGGAAGGCAGCTGAGTGCGCCGGGAGGCTGTGCCGCTGCCAATTCAGCCCCGCTCTGCTGAGATGGCAGTGCAGTGTTTAGCTGAAGGTGCTCGTAATAAGACCGTGTCAAATTACTTGCTTATAATGTGACCTGACAAAAACGCTGTTGAGCTGGAGGGAAGCTCTGTACTTCTGGCCTCGATAAATGTATTTATTTCATGCTGCTCACAGCCTCAGCTCGAAGAGCCTGGCTGCGGCAGGGTGCAGAGGTCCTTTAAATATCCAGAAGAGCATCAGGCCTGGCTTCGAAAGAAAACTGTGCCTGGGGGGCTCAGTTCCCAGCTCCTGGTGTTAAATAGGCTTTTTGGTGTGGAAATGGGCTGCTGGCTGGGTGGTCCCCTGGAAGGATGGAGGTGTGTGGCTCCCTCCCTGGGAACAATGCTTTTGTCTCCTTCCTTGGAGGGGTTTGGCTTTGTTCGCCTGCCGGATTGGCAATTGGGTGATTTTTAGTTAAGAAATAGCTGTGGTATTCAGGGCCTCCCCTCCTGCCAGCCAAACCCAGCCTACACAAGCATTATGTGCTTTATTCAGCAGCGTGCTATTTTAACTAAAAAAAACAACATTAAAACCCACCACAAACCCAGAGTGATACATACTATGACTGGAAGCTCAGGGTAACGTGTATTCAACACATTAGTCAAAAGATCCATGCTCCTGAGTGCACGGGAGCAGTGACCATCACCAACAGCACTTGCCTAAGGAGGTCAGGGAGCACTGGTGAAGCCAAGAAATCTGATGTATTACCGTTACTGCTGAGTTGCCACGTCCCGGTGGTGTATCCCCTGCAATTTCTGGTATAGAGTTCAAAAAAATACAAACAGCCCTATGTTTGCGTTGCGCTCAGTGAGGATAGGCGTACGCGCAGAGTAACACATGCATCCTCAGCTTACGTGGGCAGTGCGAGTGACTGCGCCTGGCATGGGACACGCTGGAGTCTGGAGCTGGCAGGTTATTTCAGGTTGGATGCGATTTTCCTTCCCTGAGGCGAGTGGAACAGCACTGATAAATATGGCTATAGGTGGCACTAAAGCTGTGCTGCAGCTCAAACGTTAAGCTAGAGGAAATCAGCAGAATCCCTGTGCAGCACGGCTGTGGTTGTTACCTGTGGATGAGGAGATAGCAGCAAATCAGGCAATGGCTCCTCCCTGTATTGAAATGTGGGGGTGTCTTTAAATGTTTGTTAAAATATCTATAGATATATCTATCTTTATAGGCATCTATCTATAAAGATACCTGTAGATATCTATCTCTAGGGAGATATATAGAGATATGTAATAGAATATAGAGTAGAATAAAGAATAGATACATAATAGAATTATAATATCTATAATAGATATCTAATAGAGTAGATCTATCTATTAGATAGATACCTATTATAAATATATATATTAGAGATGGATCTATTGTATGAGATATCTATTATAGAGATAGATCTATATAATATCTATATAGTATCTCTATAGATAGATATCTATATAGAAGATACCTATATAGATATATATCTATAGATAGATATAGATATCAAATTCATCTGTATATACAGTGCAGCTTTACTGCAGAGCAGGAGTTTAAAGTGGATGCATCTTTGTCTCCGTATGGCTCAGCCAGCTCCTTGGGCAGAGCCACCATAGTCAGCTGCCAGCTCCAGACCTCCACGTGATTTAGTGAACACATGGCGTTGCCAGCCCCTCCGGTGCCTGCCTCGCCACTGCAGTCTGCTCAGCCGCTGCGTGTTGGCAACGGGGAAAAAAAAAAAGGGAAAAAAAGGGAGAAAAAAGGACCAGGTGTATGCTTCAGTGGGTTGCCTCCCCATTAGTGCTGCACGCATTTTGCTGCACCCAGCGCATGATGGAGTTACGGCAGGCTGCAGAGCCCCAGAAGCCAATATTGGCATTTGAGTGCCCTCTGCTGATGCGCCGGCTGCGGGACTGCGGTGCAGAGCAGCCTGCGGCCCCTCTGCTTCATGGCAGAGTATTGCAGCAGTTCGCTGCGAGCCCCTGCTCCCCAGGGTGGGAGAGCAGGGTGGTTCGGGTAGCTGGAGGAGTTATGCTGGGTTAAAAGCAGGGGGTGTGGGGGCTGCGGGTGTCACCGGGGTGCACCCTGGATGGCTCACAGCAGGCTGTAGGTCGTCATCACCCCAAAATCCCATGGGTTGCTGTTGGCAAAGATGCTACAGAGCCGAGCAAGCAGGGATGTGACCCAGGAGGCAGAGGGCAGGGGTGGCCTGAGGACAGCAAGGGAAGCCCCTCCACCCCGCTCGTTTTGTGTTTCAAAAGGGAAAAACCCTCGGATTTTGGGTCTTCTGTGTTAGCTTCTGGTCTCAGCAAACATAAGAGGGACACGTACCCCTGTCGGCAGGCAGTAGCTCCCCCAGCACCCTTTCTCATCCTCGTGGGTGGGTTTGGGGCTGAGACATGAGTTCCCCGTAAGCAATGGGCTCACGCGGCTCCTGGGGTGAGCCCCCACCCTGCCCCTGGGGCCTGATTAACCCACCAGTTGGGCGCACTGGTAAGTGGGGACCATGCACTGCCCACGTGGCTTCACCTGCAAGTGGGAGAAGAAATGGGGTTGCCTGCATGGTCCGGTGCTGGCCGGGAGGATGCTGTGGGTTCTCTGTAGCCGGTGCCGGGCACCAGAGCACATGAGGATGAGGTGGGATCGACAGGCCCCTCTACCTTGCCAAACAGACCTGCCTGCTGGCAGGGCATCTCCTCGGGTGGGCAGGAGCATTGCGGATCACTGGGTGAGGTGGCTCCCCAAAAACTGAGGAAAAAGGACTTTGAGCTTCCAGGGAGAGGAGTGGGGGTGCTGACCTGTGCCTCCTGCCCCCACAGCAGCAGAGGCGGGAGAAGGAGCTGCGGAAGCAGCAGGAGCGGGAGCAGCGGCGGCACTATGAGGAGCAGATGCGGCGGGAGGAGGAGCGGCGGCGTGCGGAGCACGAGCAGGTAACCCAGCAGGAGCAGGGCTATCACCTTCAGCACGGATTCCTCTTCCTCTAATCAGAGATTTTTCGCATAAACTCTCGTTTTTTGCCACTTGAGAGCAAATTGCTTAATTGCTAACGCCACGTGTGTCGCTTTCCACCGCCATCATTTATCATGGATCCACTTGCTGGCCTGCAGGTGTGGAGACACTTGATGCAGGTTTTTCCCACCCGCTGGTTCCTGGGGTGGGATTCTGTGGTATTCCCAGTTAATGTTTGCCATTTCCCAGTGGTTTTCACCCTTTACCCTCAGAGGTCCCTTGTAGAGTGATGGATGCCCCAGACTCTTTGGGCTGGGATGGAGGGTGCCCAGGCTGATTGATCAGTGTCGGCTCTCGGGCGGGATGGATGTGGGTGCCCACCTCATTTTCCTTCCTCTTGGGAAATACTGTCTCTTTTACCTTCTCTCTCTTTTTCCTTTGATCCTTGCTGCCCATGCCTCCAGGAGTACATCAGGCGACAGTTAGAGGAGGAGCAGAGACAGTTAGAGATCCTGCAGCAGCAGTTGTTGCAGGAGCAAGCGCTACTTCTGGTAAATGGGAGGCCCCGGCCACGCTTGCTGCTTTCTGCCCGTGTTGCGTCCGCATGTGCCCACGTGTACCCATGTCCCCCGAGTGCCTCCTGCTGTGCCGAGACATGGGAGACGCCGCTGTCACTGCCAGACCCGGAGCCTCCTGTCTCGCTCCACGGCCATGAGCATGCCTCGATTCCCCCACCACCGCTTTGGGCTGGGTCCCCTCACGGTGCACGCCTCGCTCGTTGCATCCCTTCCGCGGCATCGGTATACTTGTGCCTTCGTGAGAGGAGCAGCCCTTTTTGTTGCCACGTAACTTTGAAGGCTGTTGGCAGCATGTTGGAGCATGGTCGAGCTCTCGCGTGCCTGCACCCGGCAAACCTACCCTGCCATGCGGGTTTTCATATTCTGAGTGAAGGCTTTTGTTTTAATTTCCTCACAGGAACACTGTATATTCCCTCTTGTGCTGTTTGCGTTCTAGATGTCCTCTTTTTTTATTTAATTTACCTTTGAGTTATCCTTTTTTAATGCTGGTAGCTGTTACTCTCGCTGCGTTTTCTTTTAATCCCCAGGGATTATTCTTTTTCTCTCTTGCTATTAATTTTATTTAGGGAAAAGAAAAGCCCTCACACAAGCCCTGGCCTTTTAAAAAGGCCCTTTCAAAATTATTTACTCATTAAACCTCATAGAGCCGTAGGGATTCAGAAAGATCATACAGTTGGCTCTGCTGTGCGGCCCTTCTCACAAACAATAAATTCGTCCTACAGAGGACTTGGCTTCATTTGGGTTTTGTCTGACCCGGTGGTGTTTGGCACCTCATTGGATTGAGGCTTTGTTCTTCCCATCCAGAAAAATCTGGGCAAAGTCAATGGTAACTCATAAGGGAATGTCTGAGCCCTCAGGGAGTCTCACAGTGTTTCCCTGGTGAGGCAGCGCTGGCACACCCCTATCCCAGCAGACAGTGCAGTTCAGCGGCCGCAAAGTGCCGACGCCAGGGTCACAACTCTGAATTTGCTGGCTTTGTCCTCCCAACTGTCTCTCCTCCAGGATGCTTTACAGCTCAGTCCCCAAAGTCCTTCAAATCAATGAGCTTTGCCAGAAAACAGCCTTTCAGATACTCAGGCCCAATTTTCCACCCAAACAGATAAACCTGCAGTTTGCAGCCCTGCATTTACAGGCTGGCCGGGCACCCGTGTCACTGTGTTTTCTTCTGGGTAGGAGTATAAGCGCAAGCAGCTGGAGGAGCAGCGGCAAGCAGAGAGGCTGCAGAGGCAGCTCCAGCAGGAGCGTGACTACCTGGTCTCCCTGCAGCAGCAGCAGCAGCAACAGCGGCAAGACCAGAGGCCGGCAGAGAAGAAACCCCTCTACCATTACAAAGAAGGGATAAATGCCAGCGAGAAACCAGCGTGGGCCAAGGAGGTAGGTGAGAGCGAGGAGCGTGGTGATGCTTGTCTGCATCTGCAGGGCTGGGCATGCAGGTTGGTCCAAAATACATACGGCAGATGATTGTGGTCTGCTGGGTCAGCCTCCAGCAGATGCCATTAGCTGTGCTGGAAACACTCCCAGTTCAATGCAATATGTGTGCGTCTCCATATGTTTGTGCAGGCAAAGTGGAGGAAAGAGGTTTTTCCCTGAGGGCGTACAAGGAGGAAGATGGATCCCTCCTGGAGGGGTTCAGCCATAGCTGGGGACTTGTGGACATGCCAGGAGCTCCTGATGCTCCTTCCTGGCACGTTTACAAGTCTGCTGGGGTCAGGGGCAAATGCAGAGGGTGGTTGTACAGGGTTCCTTGCTGGGCACTAATTCAGTTCCCCATAATCAAACGGGGACCAGACAGCTTTTCCGCCTGTGCTCGGGACTGTATCTCTTGGAGTGGCTCTTCTTTCATGATTTTCAGGAAGGCAAGCCATATTTCCAATTTTCTTTATCTCCAGCAAAAAGAGGGAAATACTGTAACAATTGTGAGATCTTGAATATTAATTATTGCCTGGCTGAATAGTCTTGAAAAGATGAAGGTATGCATTGTCTGCAGTGAGGTTTCAGGATCATGTGCAAACTCTTTCCCCTTAATCTCTTTGTGGTGGCTCCAGTAAGACTGGTGCCCACTCTTGCTATTAATTTTTCTAAAGTTCTTTGTGTTTAGTTGGTTTAATTTTGTAACCCTACTCCTGGGCAGAAAGATCTTTTAATAACTCACCTATTCTTCCAACTAAACAGGATAATCGCTCTGCTGCCAAATGTCTGGTACCCTTTAGTCCTGGCAGAGATGCAATGTGCATCCAACACGTAGCTGTCTCCTGGTCTTTCCTCTTGACAACCCTCAGCTGCATCCACAATACCTGCAAGCATCAAATGCTCAAGAAATTCAATCAGCTATCCATTGCTAAGCAAAGGCCAATAATACAAACAGTCCAGAGAGAGGTGTGCGTGTCAAAAACTCTTTTCACCTCTTTATACTCCCTTGGGTTTCTCCTTCTTTCCTTTCCAATTTAGTCTTCAGTCTTTTGGTGGCGATGCACCAGACAACGTATTTTCATGGAGTTGCAGTATCATTCTCCAGCCCTTCCAGTGGAAGGGGAGGTTTGGTAGGTAGGTCTGTAGACGAGATGTTCCAGATGTGCTGAGCCACCTTTGACGGGAGAGGCCTCCACCTGGGTGGTGTCTCTGCGGCTTTCTGCAGAACTGGGTCTCCACTTTCCATCTGCAGAAGTGCTGAGAGTAGGTAGCAGGCCTGAAAAAGGGAGTAAACTCTGTCTTTCATTGTCTGGTTTTAAATAAATCCTGTAGAACGTTGCTAAAGTACCTCTGGCACTGTCTTCAAAACTATAACAAAGATAAAGAATAAGATTACTTTTTACATATCTGGGGTGAAGGAGAAAAGTGCTGGATTTAGCTTTCCATTTCAAACACAAAGGCCCATTTCTTCTATTCCGTGGGGGAGGCGTCTTTTTTTGATGCCGTCACTGGAAGCAGGGCGTTGGGGACTGTACAATGTGAATAAGAGCAGCAGAATGTGGCCTCATACCCTTTGCTGAAATCATAGGGAAGGTGAGGTTTCCTGTTGTTGGGGAACATCTCCAGCTTCCACCAATTAGCTCTTCAAACCATTTATTCTTTACCTTTGTCACTCTGTCTGCTTTCTAATGAAATGCTCAAAGCAGCAACTGTGGCACCTTTATCCTCTCGAGAGCAGTAGTTTGATGTACTGCCTTGACACAACACCCTTGGGAACTTCCCAAAACTACTCCTCTTGCCTCCATCCTCTGTTTTATCTACTGCATAGTCCCACTTTTAGAACAATTCAGCTACTTTGCGTATATTGAAGTACCATCCTTGCTGGCTATACAGATAGACTTGTGCTGATACTTAATCAGCCTACCATGGTTCTTGCTGTAGTTTAGAAATTTCCATACGCAACCCATGAATGCTAATTTAACAGAAATATTGAGACTTTGTTTTCCTTTGGGAACAAGGAAAAGACAAGTCTGGTGCTCAGCCTACAACTTCTGGAGGCTCTGCAGAGCTTATTGGGATATTTCCTGAGGATTTTGCATTATATCCCATACCATCCTTGTTTTTATGCTCTTTGGTCTCAAGTCTTCTCTCTCAGGAGCTTGATCACCACAGCTGAGTTCTCCTGGTGCCATGCCCCTCTCTGCTTTTCATAGCTCTCCTTTATGCACTTATTTTCCCACCTCACTCATCTTCACATGGTGACTGCAAGATCCTGCAGACATGGGGTGAAGCATAAAGGTGAGGCTGTGGCCACTCCCGTTGCAGTTGTGTCCCTGCGTCTCCGGGGGGAGGACTGGCCTGTTGGTGAAGACAAAGCTCTGGCTTAGGAACCAGGCTGTACCGCATCTTTCATAGCTTTCCCAGAGCACAGTCAAGGATTTATCTTTTTTTTATGCTAAACAAAACAGTCTGATCAAATAGTCCTACCAACATGCATGGATGCACATCCCCATCTGCTGTCTGTTCTACTCATCTTCTTGAGAGTGAAGGGTTATCCACTGGAAGTTAACTTGGGATGTAGCCTGGGTGCTGTCCCAGACCTGCCCTGTTTACCCAGGCACATCTGTTCTTATAATCAAGGACTAGCTGGGCCTTTTCGGACATCATGTTGGGACCCCCTGATGATCCAGCCAGGGACGTGGCATTAGCATTCTAAGCAGTAGTACTGTAATTAGCAGCTCTCTCCGTTACTGATTCTTCTGTTATGGACCAGTATTTGCTAAACAAAGTGATGCAGATAGCCAGGTCTAACTTCTCAGTGACAAAGAAGCTTGGTCAGCTGAAGGATGGGTTTGGGCAGGTATATGCCATACATGACCATGCATAAAGGAGAGGACAGGTTTAATTGGATGTTTTCCACGTGGTGGCTGGGCCCTGTGGTGCTTTCCCGCAGCTCAGAGCTTCCCAGGTGCTCGGGGCTCGGCTGTGCGTCACGAGCTGTGCTGTTCTCTGCAGCAGCCAATGCGCACATCAGCTCCTCCTTCAGTCCCCATGGCTTTTATCCATCTCTTGCTTTGAAGTGATGTTTTAAACATTAGCAGCCTTCCACTGGGACCTGCACAGAAGCTGCTAGGTATGTTTCCTATTTGAGGGGAATCTTGAGTTCAATTAGAGATGGCTGGAACTGGAGCGATGATGAATTCCTGCAGGGTTTTGCTGCTTTTTCCCCCTCTCTGCTTAATGGTGGAGTCAGTAAGGCTCTATGAAATACAGCTGGAGAGTCCCAAGAGCATCCTCTGCTGTGCTGGTGCAACAAAGTGCTAGTGAGGAGATGCTGGCAGTGGGAAAACCAAGCCCCTTTCTCCTTCCCAGTACACAGACATCCCCATTTCATCACTCTCCTGTCTTCTCCTCCATGCAAGCTTTGAAGTCCTCCGTAATCAGCCGTGCATTACGGCTTGGCAGCGTGCCGGAGAGCACCTGCAAACAGCCGGAGGATGCGGCGGCGGCACTGTCTCTGCCTGCTGTCGTTTGTGCCAAGGCTTGGCTGCTGCTCCCTTGTTCAGAGCGAGTTCTCCTTCCTGCCCTGCTCTCCATCCTTGCTTCCGCTGTCGTGGACATCACTGAACAGAGCTCTGCATGGCCTCTACTAGCTGGTGGGCAGTGCCTAGGGAAGTTGTGATGACCTCTTGGGACACAGCAGTGGCCCGGGTGGTTCCTCATGAACTAGAAAGGAAAGAGTCCATAAACAAATCTCTTATCTAAATTTTACTCTGACTCCTGCGCAGTACCTGAAAGAGGAAAAGATCCATTTTTATTAATATAATGGCTCTTTTGTTTCATGAGTATTTATTTACTTAAAGAAGAGCTGTGGTTCTTTCCAGGCAAACCTGTTTTAAAGATTGCCTTTTAACATGACATTGTACATAATGGAATCAAGACACGCTAAGGGTATTTAACATGTTAATGATACGTAAATGAAAATATACGTCAGATCTCGAGGTATCAAAAATTCTGCATAGCATATGCTGCATGAATATCAATGCATAGAGTCTAACTGCAGGAGCACCCAGATTGCACATATGTCTGGATTAGCTGAAAGCACTGTGTTTCGATCAAGGGTAATTGAAAGCAGTGGGCTTTGGGTTTATTTCTCTATCAGTAATAGAGGCTTATCCCCTTCCATACATGACAAGGTGCCAGACTCACTAAATCTAGATCAAAGCCAGCCATTTTCTGGCTGCCATGTTTATTCTTTTATTCAGATCAAACAAAAGCAGTCCTCGTGGTGTTTATAGTAGTGAAGGAAAAGGGTCCCCTTGCTTAAAGATACATTTGAGAAGAAGCAAGAGTTTCTCAGGAGTCATCTTCTAGAAACACCTCTGAGGCATGTTGCCTTTATTTTTCCATTTCATATTCAGAAATTAATTATGTACATAAATACAGATAGTCCTTTCAGTGTCTTTAAAATGCATTTATTGCACAATCTGCTGGTAACCTGGATTCCATGATCATACAATATATGAGAGAGAGAAAGAGAAAGAGAAAAGAGCTTCCTATATATATGCATACCTTGGTTTTCAATTGGAAATGGCTTTTTATGGAGCATTCACCCATTCTCCCTGTCTCGCCACAGGTGGAGGAGCGCTCCCGGCTCAATCGCCAGAGCTCGCCGGCCATGCCCCATAAGGTGGCCAACAGGATTTCTGACCCCAACCTGCCTCCTCGGTCGGAGTCTTTCAGCATTAGCGGTGTGCAGCCGGCCCGGACCCCACCCCTGCTCCGACCTGTGGACCCGCAGGTAATGGTGCTTCCCCCGGCAGGCTCACCTACCGGAGCCAGGATGCTGGGGGTGCTGGTAAGGTAACAAGAAAAAGAGCGGATTAGAGGGAAATAGTGCCTTGCTCCCTGGTTTCTCAGCCTTAAGCGTATTCGTAAGTAAGAGCAGCATTTACATTCATGAGTGGATTCCTCTTGTCGCCTCCATGTGTTAGAAACATCACGCTGGTTTATACCTTCCTTTGAAGCATCACGTACTGGTTACTGCCAGAAACAAGCTGGAGGACCGAGAGGAACCGCTGGTCTGGTCCAGTGCGGCAGTTGCTCTGTTCCTCTTTGGATCTGGTTTATGTAAAGGACTAAAAAAACACAGCACCTGGTACAAAAGACCGGGGACGCTTTGATGCTGAGGATCATCAGAAGGAGATTTTGCTTTCTTTGCCGCTTTAATTCAAGGTTTTGTTTTGGTTTTCCATTGAGCTGACATCAGTCACAAACACATCTGGAGAGGGCATAGATCACCATGACCATCTAAAAATTCCTCCCAGCCGCGAGGTCTGTAAGTACTCTGCCACCGAAAGCTCTGCACCGAGTGTCAGTGCTGGCTCTGGTCCAGCCCCTGGAAGTGCTCCCACAGATCCACAGACTCCAGCGGAGATTTCAGAGGGAAGCACAAAGCCTTTGCTCCCTGTCCATGTGGGCTTCCTATGGGAAAATGTGCCAACTAAGTGCCATCCACGTGTGGTATGCGCACCTCTAGGTCAGCAGTACGATGCCAGCTTTAAACAAAATACATGCAGGAAAGCCCTTAAACATACAGTTCATTTTTCCCCAATGTACATGGTCTATATATGTTGGGAAATGGGTAAAATCCCACTTCACCGTAATCTCTCTGATTGACCAAATACTTTTCAGTGACCTGTTTGACAACCTATATTGTCAACAGCTACAAAGACTTTTGTTTGGGAATAAAATACTAATGAAAAGGTTGTTTGAAACCCAGAGACCCATGTAAATGTATGCATGCATACACATATACACATGCTATAAGTACATGTGTACATAAACATGTATGTAGAAATGTCAAATAAAAGTTACAGCCCCCCTGTATCAAGGAAGTGCAGCTTCACAGGGTCGTGGGAAGAAGCTCTGATTTCACAAACTCTTAACTTTGTGAATTTCTCAGATTTCCCAAAACGGATGTCAGTATTCCTTTCACTTGTAACCTTTAGATCTATAGGGCTGATCCATGGGATATGGGCTACCTAGACGTATAGAAACTCATGCCTCAAGATTATTTTTTTTAAGCCATTTAGGCCTCAGAATTCCTGACAATTTTTTTTATTAATTATTATTTATTATTGTTTCCTTCTTTTTTCATTTTTAACAAGGAAAATCCATGCCAAACCTCATTAGCACAACCTTAGAGGTGCAGGCGTAGGAGCTGGAAATGCGGCCAGCGGCAGGCAGAGCCTGGGGTGGGCATGGAGTGTGCGGGAGCTGGCAGGAGGGAGCAGCCTGCCCCTGCTCCTGGGGTGGTACTCACAGAATGGTGCGGGGCTGTCGGTACGAGCCGTATCAGCGTGCACATGCAGGAGCGGTCAGGACTGAAGCATGACATTGCCTGATTTTAAAAGGCTGAGCTGTGCGAGCATGATTTTTAATAGATCTTGCACTGAAGTCAGAAGTTCCTGAAACCAAGGCAGTGCTGATCTCAAACCGAGGGGGCTTTTTAGTGCATCCAAAGTGCTAATCAACTTTTTTTTTAAATCAAATTTTTAAATATTTTTTTTATTCCTTTTTTTTTTTTCCATTTTGTACTGATAGTTCTGTTTTGACTTGGTGCTTAGATTCCACATCTGGTCACTGTGAAATCCCAAGGAAGCTCCTTGTCTGGGTCTCAGTCACTGCATGAACAGCCTGCAAAGGGACTGGCTGGGTTTCAGGAGGCTCTGACGGTGACCTCTCACCGCACTGAGATGCCAAGGCAGAACTCGGACCCCACCTCAGAAAACCCTCCTCTGCCCCCTCGCATTGAAAAGTTTGACCGAAGTTCTTGGTTACGGCAGGAGGAAGACATTCCACCAAAGGTAACACTATCGCTCCTCACTTTCAGCACGTCAAAGAGGCAATCCCAGAGCTAAGTCTCCGCGGGACGGTGCTGTGCTCAGCACCTCCAGCAAAGCAGAGAGGGCAGGACTGAGCCCACCCCTGTGGCTCCACAGTGGGTACTGACCTGCCAGGGGGCTGCATTTCCCACGGCAGGTTTTGCTCGAGATGCTGGGAGCTGCTCTCAGGTGCACACACAGGGCTGCAAAATAGTGTTGCCCTCCAGCAAAGAAAGTTCTTGAGCCTGGACAGAGGCCAAAGCAAATTAATTTCTCTTTTCCCTAGGATAAAAAACAACCTTCTGTTTAAATAGAATTATAGGAACATAAAATTTGTCATACTCAATGAGACGGGTCCTTTTTAGTCAGGTACAGTGCCTCCAGTTGCAATCAATATTTGATGGAAGACTTGTAAAGGCTCCAGCAGCTTTATACCTTCATTGACATTTTGGCAGCATCTGGCAGTACCTCTTTAATTAAGACTCTTCTGGACCAGTATTTCGATCGCATTGTTTATACACCTTCATTTTGGAAAAGTTATAACTTGGCCATTGAAGCTCCTCTTAGAGTGAATCAGTGCTCAGCCTGGGAGGATTTTTACAGAGAAAAAATGATTACAAATTGATTAGTGACAGTGAGGCAGTATTTGTCCCTGATTGAGAGGCAGTATTTCTGTGTGTTAACAAAGTAAGTGACTTGCCTTTTTAAGAGCAAATTATCAGCTACGAGGTAAGCCTCCCTGTGCAAGGGATCTATGGTGGCATGTCACATATGTTAATAATATTCCTATTTCTCCTACCACCAGGTGATAAGAGACATTGGTGCTTACTTAAGAGGAAAAGCAAGCCAACAGCTCCTGGAGTTGTTCGTGTGCTTTGTTCCTCAGTAGTGCAGAAGGGTGGCTGCCTGGTTTTAACCCAGTTTTGAGAAACCCCTTGCAATTTAAGGTTGGCTTTTCCCTTGAGTCCTTTGAGAAGAGCATCTCTTAACTGCACTAATGTGCTACGCGGTGAGACCACAGCACCTGCTCCTTGGAGAAAAGCTGTTTTCCAGCACTATGGAGTATTCTCCCCCTCAACTGGGGGAACATGAGCTGTGGAAGGGGTCCCCACCAGATCACATTGAACGCTGTCGTGTCGGCAGTAGTACCCATGAGGAGTCTGACCACATTTTACTGCCCAAAGTGCGTTTGATGTGTTTGTAAGCGGGAACGAAAGGACTGCCCCGTGAGGCAGGGCCGGCTGTCTCTGTGGTCCAGGGTCTTGTTTCTGCCAGTGCTTATGGCTGGATGCTTCAGAGGAAGGTAAAAAACTCCCCAGGTCCCGACTGCAGACTACCCTACCCGGAGGGGATGTTGTTTTTCAATGAGACAAGCTGTAGCTAGCGATGTCGCAGAATATAAAGCTCGCTCACTTTCTAAATCTTTTTATCTTGCCTAACATAACTGCGTGTTTATTCTCGAAAAAAATGCCTAATTCTTTTTTTGCTAATCCCGCCAAGCCCTTGGCCTCTCTGTTATCTGGTGCAAGGTATTGCATGGTGAGTATCATCGTGCCTCTCCACGTCAGCCTGTGCTGCTGGGGGGGATGAGACCACCACGCCTGTGGCCACATGGCGATGCCCATGCTCCCACGGGAAGAGGCAGGCCTCTGGGGTTACCTGCCATAGCACCTGTAGATTGTGGTTGGCTTTGGGTTTCTGCTGGCGGTGTTGGTGGTGAGCTGTCCTGCCGGCAGCGGGGTTTTGGCAGCAGCATCCAAAGCTCAGCAAAGGCCACAGGGTTTAATTGAGAATGTTAGGTGGTTCAATCTGGATCTTTCCACTGTCAATCCTCTTGTTTGTCCACCAGTCAACACCTTCTCTCTGCTGGTGCATGTTGTATCTGAACTAGAGATGCTAAAAGCTCCACCGTAGCTGCTGAAATGCACTTCAGTCTGAATTTTACCTTATAAATTACTTTTCTGGGGTTTGTTGGATTTAGATTATATATGTGTGTGTGTACATTCAGCTTTTGAAAAAGTAAATGCCCTGTTTGATGGTAGCCGGGCTGCTCTGTGTGCTGCTCGGGGCTTCTCTGCCAGGAGCATCCCTGACTGCACCTTTGCAGCTCGTTTCTCTCTCACACTAAGGTGATTCCTTCTAAAAGCTGAGAGCTTTGTGTTTTATAATTGCTATAAATATTGTGTATCTCTCAGTGGGAAATCAACTGTAAATCAAGTCTTAAGGCAGTGCTGAAAGGTGATCTCTCAGATGTGCCAACGGCTGCCTGACATGGTGGGGCAGACTCGGTGACGGTGAACGTCTCCATTCCTTTCCAGGTGCCTCAACGAACCACTTCCATATCCCCTGCTCTGGCGAGGAAGAACTCCCCAGGGAATGGTAGCGCCCTGGGGCCCCGGCTGGGCTCCCAGCCCATTCGGGCAAGGTACGGACACCGGGGGGGACAAGCAGGAGTGATCCCAGTGTGCTACTGCCTGCGCTTCTCCTGGCATCGCCCAGCTGGGGAGCCCGGACATGGGCTGGGGTCTAGCCCTGCTTTTGCTCACTGGTAACAACACGAGATTTGCAATGCTTCTCTTATCACTGGGATGAACTAGTTTTGCATTCGTTAGTATTTTGTAACAACAGCAAAGGTCATGAGCGCTTGGATCCCTGGAGCTTTTGCTCCCTGGGCTGAATACGTTCCTGGGCATTGCAGGGTTTAGAGGTGGATGCTGCATCTGCTGCTATGGGGTCAAATCGGAATTTGGGCGCTCCCTTTAGTGGAATTAGGTTCTGGTTCTTCCAGTGTCACCTCTTGCATATAAGGGGATCCATATAAGCCAGTGGAGAGATCTCAGTGATACATACCATACATTTCCTACCGTCAGAGCAGCTTTTCACAGATAATGACCGAGGAATGTGCCAGGGGACAGACACCGATACAGCTTGGTGAGATCTTCCTTAGTTGTAGATCAAGGATTAAATTCCTTTCAGCTTCCTAGGACTAGGGCCTTTAGCTTAGCCGGATCGAGCTCTCCAGCACAGTGGTGTGCAGGGCGTGCTTGTAGCACCCCAACGAAGGATGTTGCACCGCATCTGACATCTGCCATGCCAGAGCTATCCCTGGGCGTGTTTAAAACGAGCAGGGAGTTGACAGGCTCTGCTCCGAGCCGGATGGAAAAAATGTGGCTTAGTCATGCGAGAGCTTGTCTCTGGTTTGCAGAGCATCATGGGCAGATCTGGACCTCAGACAGGCAGATCTCAGGGTAAATACGTGTTCCACATAGCCTTGCGTGGTGGAGCTCCTTGGTTTCTTCTTCCTGCCTTGTCCTTTTAGGGTGAGGTCAAAAAGCGAACACTGGGATGTTTGTAGCCATGTGCTGTCACCAGTTTTCAGCATACGCCTTTCTTTCCAGCTCAGTGCCCCAACCATGCATCAGCAAACTCCTGTACAGCGGGCAGCAGCTTAGAGCAGCTGGCAGGGGTAGCAGAAGGAGGAGGAATCTTTTTTGTTGTTGTTGTTGTTTAAATTAGACAAAAAACATGCATATCATGGTTGGTTCCTCTTTATTGCTTAAGGCTGAAGCACTTTGAATTCTTGAAAATGTTCTTTTAATTAGCTGTTGCTTGAAGGACAATTTAAAATGCGGAGGGGTGTTGGACTGCATGGTCCTAGTAAGTGATAGTATTGAAAGTAAAAAGGATAATGGGAGTCTGTGGGATTCAAGTTGAAGGTTGCCCAGTGTTTCCTTCAGCCTCCCGGTCCCAGTCCTGGTCAGTACAGGTAAATACACTAGTATTGTTTTATTCAAATACGTTTCATGAATTAATTTAGCTAAGGACATGTCAGCTGTACAGCATGAGCTGGAGGCCTTCAGTCTGATGAAAATTCGAAATGACTAGGATGCTACCATGTCCATTAAACTAAGTATTCAGTGAAACAGTTTCACATTTCATTTCTCTCACAGTAATGTAGCGTTTCTCCAATTTTCCTTTTTAACCACCTCTCCTATTGGTTCTTGATTCCTCCCATGCATAAATTTAAATATTATTAAAATATGCTTTCTTTTCTTTATTACCCTATTGTAACAAATGAGGGGATATTTCCTTGCACACAGAAAGTTACTGTCTTGCTCTCATCATTTTAATACCCACCTGTGTCAATGCAAGATACCACTGGGCAGTCATTTTATATAATATCCATGCTAAGCAGTGTCCAAACGATTCTGCCAACAACGCCATTACGGCGATGGGCCTCTGCACAATTTACACAATTCTGGTCGTTCTCCAAGGGCCGCGGCGTGCACAGTCCGCACACCTTGCACTTCATGTGCACACCCTCCAATTGCATTATGTCATGTGGCAGTATTACCGCATTTTTACATACGCATGGTCCTAATTGGACTCAATGGAGAAAGCTTTCTATAAATTTTTAACGGGACTTTGAATAAGATCACTTAACAGGAATATTGTATAAAACCAAATTGCATAACTCTGCGTTGAACATGTCTTCTGATGTCATTTCAGTGCCAAATAAGAATTAATTTCCTAAAGGCATCTGATACTCTAAGAGTTATTATTCACTCTTCGTGTGTCCAGGGTGCTTTTTATTCTAGAGTTGTGTATGTTCACAAGGGTGAAAAAAATCAAGGAAGAAAAGTGGGTATCTCAAGCGAGTTTAAAGTGAAGCCATGAAAATTGGGGACGTGATTAAGTGGCAAAAGTGATCTGCAGCCTTGTTGCAAACTTGAGATCCTTTCTTCGCTGAAATATTTATTTCTCTAACAGCGATTTGCAAATTCCTGCTTTTATGATGAATATTGGTGGTTAATACAGATATCGCCAGCATTGCACATCTACAGGCTGAAGGGGAGTTCTGAGCAAAGAATCTTTTAATTTTTGCTGAATTTGGCAAAATAAGAGTAGAAAGCTCCTCTAGCCAATTTTTCATCATGGTTTTGGTCCACCTCCATAAAGATGTTGAGTGCCGAATTCAGCTCCCATGGATTTCAGTGGGGCTTGCAGGCTCAATAGCTTCAGAAGAGAAGACCTCAGCCCTGTCTTCTCCAGCAGAGGAGGTGTCTCCTCACCTTCCAACTGTCCCTGTCAGTGTGGGAAGGATCTGAAGCCCCGGAGGTACACGCAGCACCATCTGACAGTGTCCCTCTGTTTTGTGCTCCCGCAGCAACCCGGACCTGAGGAGGACGGAGCCCATCGTGGAGAGCCCGCTGCAGAGGACCAGCAGCGGCAGCTCCTCCAGCTCCAGCACTCCCAGCTCCCAGCCCAGCTCCCAGGGCGGGTCCCAGCCCGGCTCTCAGGCTGGCTCCAGCGAGCGCAACAGAGTCAGAGGTGAGTTCTTGAAAATGTCCCTTGGCACCGGGTGTGCTTTCTGAGGCTTGTTTGATAGCAGGAAGGACAAGAGGTCTGTGATCTCACGTATGCTTTTCAAAAAATCAAAAAATCAAAGGATTCATCATTTCTGATGTACTTCTGTGACCAGCTGGCCTCCTTGCAAACAGAGATGCTGACACTCCCTTTTGCCTGGATGCTGATGTAGGATGCCGATGGCAGCCTGCGCTTTTCCTGCACTCTACTGAAGCATTGCAGTGCCAAGTAACTTAGACAAAAGGAGATGGGGGTTATGCTGTAGGGTAAAAAAAAAAAAAGGAATACCAGCGCGCTTCCTATCTTCATTGACCCCAGCTCACTTCTTCTGTGATGGTTGCTTTCGGATTGTGTTTCACTTTGGGTGGGTATCTCTTTTTTTCCTTTTTTTTTTTTTTTTTGAGCTTCATCTTTGTGCAAAGCCTGAGATGGGAGCAGAGGAGTGAATTAGCCCGTAAGAAGCTTTCTCTGAAATGCTTTCACCAGGCAGCCGTGCTTACACTGGGTTTATGTTCCTAGCCGAATTGTTTCCTCTCATCTTAGAGCCACTCCTAAAGATATTCCATTCCCCCGTTTAATCGCAGTAGGAGTTGCTAAAGCACATACAGCCCATACATCTGCATTTCTAGTACAGCCCCGCAGTATAAATCCCCAGGGCTGAAGCGCATTAAAACAAATACTGCCTCCATGCTTTGAATTTTTTATGACTTGGCCGTAAGATGACATGTCTGTTGTTGAAATCATCACTTCTCTAGGTAGTCAATAAAAGCAGTTTATCGCTAATTGTCCTTTTTGGTTTGGTTTTGTTTTTTACTAATGAGGAATCCTGTGACAAATAATGTCCTAGCAATGTCAGATGCTGCAGAGCTTTTAATTTATCACATGCCCTGCTCTTTTGCAGAGTGAATTTGTTTCTTTAGTAGAAAAAAGGGCAGTCACGCTGCAAGAAGGCTGTCAGTGGAGGCTGGGCCGGATTATGGTTTCTGTCGCTCTGTGGAGGGACACTCCATACAGTTAGGTAGAGAGGAGCCAGGAGTATTTTTCGAGACAACAGAAGCAAAACGTAGTGAAACTTTTAGTTGGACAAAAATTACCTATTTACAGGGCATCCAGTCCTGAGCCTGAGATGTCCTTGTCTGCTTTCACCACCATCTTCCTGCGCTTCATGGGCAAACAGCTGGGGAAGGGGCTGCCAGTGCCTCGGCACAAGGAGGAGGACAGTGAAGCCCCCCACACCCACCCATCCCAGGCGATGGGATGCAGTGATGGCTTTCGGCAGTGTTTTAATTCCCACTCTCTCTGCTTACCTTTCACCCAGGGAACGCCAAGCCCGAAGGGTCCCCTGTGCTCTCCCACGAGCCCGCCAAGGTAAAGCAGGAAGACAACAGGGACGTGACGCGACCAAGCCGACCCGCTGTGAGTCTTAAATTATTTTCCGTGGGAACATTCCTAGCTGGCTTGGCCACATTTCCCTTCGGTGCAGTAGCACAACCGTGGGGACCCCAAAAAAGAGGCTAGTACCATTGCTCCTCCAGCGGAGAGACTGGAAAGCGGTGGTACAGTGAGAGCCCGTGGGAGATTTGAATGCTTAAGAGAGTGCATGAGTTTTTATCAGGAGCCCAAGTCTAGGGGAAAGCACTTAAGCCTGTGTTTTCATGTGAAGCAGATGCTTAAGGGCTTTGCTAACTTGGGCGCGGTGGTTGCCGATGGCACATTGTTGTGTTCCGTGCTGCATGTCCCCCCACAGCAGCCCGGCGGAGGGATGCTCTGCTCGGGAAGGCTGGGCGACTGGCCCCCGACAGCCTTCACAGCTTAAAACCAAAGCTGGTAGTGGTTTCTGTACGCTCCCTTTTTATTATTCTGAGCAAAATCTCATCCGAAGTGTTTCCTCCTGGTTTAATGCTGTTGACATTTGTATTTTAAAACTGCAGAGTCGGCCTAATAACAAAATGAATTTCCACTGCTTCTCTTTTTTAATGTGTATTAATGTTTTGTTGATGTTTTTTTTCTCTACACTCCACAGCATTGAGCTAACAATTCTAATTTTATTTCTAACCTGCTTGCCCTTCCTCTGGCTTTTTCCTGTCCCGATCTGTTTCCTCTGATGCTGATTATTCTTCCTTTACCCACAGAGCTATAAGAAAGCTATAGATGAGGTTAGTGATATCTTTTCTCAGTGGGTCATGCCTATGCAAGGTTGACTAGTTAGCGCTTAATATCGAACCGGGTTTTCTTGGTGCTGACATTGAAAAAGGTGGCGATGCAATCTTGGGTCAGATGGGAGACCAAACGATTGCGTTTCGGCGTAGGGAGCCTGCCCGCGGGGAGGGGAGCGGCACTGCCGGTGTGTTCTGCTCAGCCGTGGGCTGCCTGAAACCTGCTGGCCAGACCACTTGCATGGAGGCCGTGGCAAGAAGCACTCCAACTTTCATGCGTGGAGCAAAGGGTGCTGCCGTTGTTGGGCGTATTTGAAAGAGAGAGAGCGAGAGCGGAGGTTTCTTGTGGCGGTGGTCCAGGCAGCCTGCACCGCTCACCACATTCTGCTCTCAGCTACAGCCCCTGGCCACCCACTGATTTCAGAGGGGCCATCGAACACTATTTGAAATGCATTTTAAGCCTAATTGGAACGAAGGCACTTGGCAAATAAAGGAAAACAGAGCAGTGGAATACAGTGGGTAATTCATTCTCAGGGACCAAACCATCAGCTGTAAAGCCAGAGTCAGCGGAGCCGTCTTGAATGTTGATGGGCAATGGTAGTCTTCATCCATCCTCTTAAAAAAATAAGAGTCCTGAATTACACCTTCTTCACCATATGATAATATTTTAAAAGTGTGTGCATCTGGCAATGGTGAATGTTTAAATTTCATGGGAAGAGACCAAACATTCCTGATTTAGCATTTAACTTGCCTCACACATGCATTGCTGTGCACACACTGCTCATACTGGTAACTGCGGGGCTGTAATGGAAAGCACTTGTACCAGCAGCCTCTCCTGCAGCCTCTTTCCTCTAAAAATAAAAGATACGAAAGAAGGAAGATGTGCTGGTTAGTTAACTTGTTCTCTTGGATAAAACATGAGCAATGCATTTTGTTTAATGAGGTGCTTTGTTAAGAAAAAAGCACATAAATCAGTGTCTAAATAGAGGCAGCATGTGTGCTAAATTCAAGTTCAATGAGCTGTGTGATTTTTGGAAACCAATCTGACTTGATTCCAGCAAATATTAAATCTCAAGAAGTCTTTGTAATTAAAAGTAATTAAAGAGCACTGATACTGCTAACTTATGTATTATGTCACCCTCAGTAATAACATTTCAAACACATGTGGAACTACAGAGCACGTTCTTTCTAGTTGTCAGATTGTTTTTGGTCCAAGAGCAACTCAGTGAAGCCGTTTAATCCTACAAAGTGCTCATTACTTAGAGAAAATGATAGCATCAAAGAATTAACCATCCCGAGGCAAAGCTTTAACTAGGAAATACAAGTTATCTGATGATATTGTCTGGGAGTATTATTGCTGTTATAACTTCCAAATTAGTTATTAAAAACTAATCAAGCTGATTTTTAAAATACTTGACTATCTTCTAGTGATGACCAAAGAAGGCTGATAGGGTGCCTTGAAGCACGTTAGAAATGGAAGGTGCCAAAAAGAAGTAATTTTCACGGTCCATTGCTGTGATAGTGAAGGGTTTAGTGCTAGTCCTGCACTGCAGGAATTTCAGCTGCAATTTTAAGAGGCTTTTATGCAGTCCTAAAGTCCTTTTCAAAGTTGAGAAAGCTCTAATCCAACTCAAAGGCAAGTGCTCAATAAAGAGCGTATTTTATACTCTAAATGGAAAGCGTTGTTAAGCTGTTCAAATTTTCATTGATTCTTACTTAGGAAAAGAAACAATCATATCATAGAAGCTGCTGCAGCACTAATTAAAATCATTTGTTGTCATGACTGCAGATTTGACTGCATTTCAATTCCAAACATGTTGGCATCGAAAATAAACTCTTGTAATAGCACATTCTCTCTTTAACCATGATAAGGAGCCTTTCTTTAAAGGTACAGAGAGCGTTTGGATTTGGAGACGGATCTGTAATACCCATCACAGGTACCTGCTGGGAAGCAGGGATTGATCCTTTTGTTAAAAAACTAGCTTTTTTTGGTATACTAATATTTACGGGTCTGATGCAAAGCCCTCTGATGTCCGTGGGAGTCTCTGCCCTACGTCAGAGGCCAGGCAGGCAGGGCAGGGAGGGCAGACCTGGGAGCAGAATGTGTGGCTGTCCACCGGTGGGAGCCCGCCGGGAGGTGTGGGTCACCAACAACCAAAGTACAAATTGCTTGCAAAATACTCCTGCTTCACGATTAAAAAAATAAACTGGGTTTGCATCTCAGCCATAGAAGTTTTCCATTGTTTTCTTCACGTGTCGACGGGATAGATTTTAAGAGCTCCCTTTGCAACCATAATTAATATTGCTGTAGTCGCCCTGCTGGAACGGTAAACTGGAAATGCAGTAAATGAGAGTATGGCCGTAAGACAATTGTGGAATTTAGTCTTTTTCAATGAGTTTCTTTCTCCCTAATCCTTTATCTCTGACCGAATGCACTGATGCCTACCTCGGTCACTAATATAGGGAGAAATGGTAAGACTGACAATTGCGATGCTTTGTTCGTCATGTGCATGTCTTGTGCAACAGAGTTCTCTAACCCATTCTAATTCGAGCTCTCATGCTTTTCTGCCCTACTGCTTCCCCCTGCATTGCTATAAAAGCATGTAAGATAACAAAAAGTCTCTTTTCTACACGGTGCCTGCCATGTTCCTTGTTTTGAAATAGCAGTGTCTATTTTATATGACTGTCGGGTCTGAGGCCTCATCAAAGTCATGGTAAACTGAAAAATTATTACTAGGCTTTGGGACTCCTCCTATCTTTTTTTCTTGTTTCAAGGCTTTTTTTTTTTTTTTTTTTTTTCCCTTTTT